TTGCTTGAGTATTCACTGAGCCGTATTATCATGAACTTCAGTTTGCTGGTGTTGACAGTTAATCTGCTGCATGTTGTTGTCAGTCAAGTGGTGGTTGGTACAGATTCTAGGGGGAGACAGGAACACACACACACTCAGTCCTTGGCGTCTACTGCCCTCTACTGTTTTTTAAGTGAACAAAGAGAAAAGGGTGAAGACCGTAGTAGTGAATGTATTAAGTTTTGAATGTATCTTGAGTGAAAAAGCATCACTTTTAAAGTCAGGGAATTCATTTATTTATATGTCTTTTTTCGTTAACTGAACACATTTAATCTGAGTTTCAATGAGTCATCTTTAACATCACTGTAAACTGTTTTAAACTGGTTCTGTGTGATTCCTTTGAGGTCATTGTCCTTACTGGTGTCATTTTATTAAAAACTGTATATACAGCATGTGCATGGACCTGCACTGTATGCTGCATTAAGAAACACATAGCATTTAACTGTGGATCCTCCTAATCCTGAATAATTCAACACAAATATTAGAATGTAATCCCATGAATAGTCATATTAAAAGTACTTAAAAGACCACGGATAACAGCACTGGGCTACATAACGTTAGCTACAGTAGCCGATTAGGTGGTCAACTCATTTAATGGTGACGTTAATATAACGTTAGCATAACGTTAGCTACTTGCAGCCATTTCATTAGAATAAACTAGAAATGACAAAGCATGAATAAACGTGACTAAGCGTAACATGAATACAACTCACCTGTGAACATGTTCTAGGCCAGAGTCACGTCAGATACATATTCATCGGCAGTAGGTGAGGTGATGTGTTTTTGTAGGCCAATCCGGAAGTTAGCATCGCACTGGTTCCCTTAACAAAAGGCCAATTGGACTTTGTTGGATTTTCAATAATTGCAGGAAATAATCTAAAATAATAAGCTCCGTGGCAAACAAACGTTTATAACACTTTCACATTTTGTTCAGCAATGTAATCTTAACAAATGAACAACCACTTTTATGTTTTTTGAAGCATGAAAAGCCAACATCCTAAAAAAGAACTACACCACGGTCACATGACTTCACGTCCCCACCATTAAGGTACAGTAGGGCTAGTCGGCGTGACGACGTTTAGTAGTCTCATTTAGCTACTTTGTAGATTTGATAATTAGGTTTAAGTTTTGATTCATGTACATTTATTAATATACTTTTTACTTAATTTTTTCTACTTGTATTGTGTATTTTACAGAGCTTTTCAGTTCCACACACACATTGATCTATACTGTTGAAGACGGAAGTTTGACTTCATCACAGGGTATATTTCTCGTGTGCTTTGTCTTCATCATTGTCTTCGACATTTTAACGTTATTGATCCCACATTTTGTCATCCTTATTCCTCCAAGAATCCTTCCTGGTTCAGAGAGAGCTGAAGTTTGTTAAAAAATCAAACAAAAACTCAAATAGAAATCTTCCGCCTAAAAAGCACTTATCATGGAAGATTTTTGATTTGAATGCAGAAACAGTTTTTGATCGGGGCTTTTGGTGCCATAAAAGCTGCTTGAGTTCAACACGAGGAAGCTGTCGGTGCTTCTAGCCCCGAGGGGGGGGACGGAGGGAGGAATGTTTTCCCGTCGCACTCTTTGATCTCACACCCCCTAATCACTTCCTGAAGATTATACAGTACGTGCACCTCCGCACTGCCCTCACTGAGTGTGTGTGTGTGTGTGTGTAGCATGCATGCTTGCCTGAGGGCAACCCGGGCAGATGTAGTCCTCCGTGTCCTGCCTGATGACAGACAGAGATAGGGAAGAAACGGAGACAGAAGCATGATGTCATCAAACTGTGACAACCAAGCAGAGTTATAAATAAGTTTGGCAGTCACGCTGAAGTGCACAAAGCGTGTAAACTGACCCAAAGAGTCAGCAATTTTGTTTTATTTTTACACTGCAGAAATAAACAGATGGAAGTGCTGGTAAAGTCACTGAGCTCGTTGACAGGATGGTTTTGGCAGCTCTCTGAGTTAGTATGGTTTTTGGGGGCAGTGAAGGCGTCTCAGGAAAAGCTGAGGCAGAACTGGAGATGCAGAGGCGTTTGTCTTGGAGGATGAGCACTGCGTTGATATAAAGAGGATATCACATCAGTTACTATGATGGGGTCCAGCTGTCAGCATGACTTGTGCTTGTAAAGATTAACTTTTTAACTCATTATCTTTACAATGTTGTATTTTTACCTGCCGAATGGAGGATGTTCACATTGGCACCAGAGCACTGAAGAAACCTGGTAGTAATTTAAGTTACCGTCGTTGCGACTACTTGATGATTTTTTTGAAAGAGCCAAAATGCTCTCCAGAGCGACACAGCGTTTCCTGATCCGACGGCACACAGCAAGACGTCATCATTTGCTTGTGCCTTTCAAAACCATTGTAAATCACTCTCTATAGTTCACACTTCCGACATGGTCACACATGCGCGAATGCATGCAATGCTTGCTGAATGTGGGCGGTGCCAAGTGAGGTCGACCACACTGTTACGCCCGGTCTAGGGGAACCGGGGCGCAGCATAATAATGGGTTTCCCTCGCTCTCCCACTCCCAAGAACGACCAGTGCTGCTGCCATACAGTCCATCATATTGATCTATTTACACAGTTGTTTTTAGCAATACGCGTCAGGGTGAGCCTGGCCCAAGACAATAGACAAAACAATCTTTATACCTATACTAACTTACCTACTCCAAACTGAACAACAGAAAGTACAGGCAGCTTACCTACCTCCCTAACCGAAAACAGGAGAAAACAATGTGAACAAAAAGGGGCTTCTCACCCCCACCACTACATGGACTGTCGTTAGATTACATACAATGATTTGTCGCCCCGATCTGTACAACAGCGACCCCCTTGGCTGTGCAGCATGGCCCGGTTGGGAGCCGGAGAGAAAAAGAGAGAGGGCGAGCCAGCCTCCACAGGTTCCTTCTTATCTCCGGCCTCATGAGTCCCCAGTCCAATCACCTGCAATCCCATAGATAAAAGAAAACACAGACACAGTATAAACAGCACCACCCTCAGGCAGGGAGGCACACAGCATTAATGATCATTGTATTATGACGCTCTAAGTCATAACATAATGATCTTTGGTATTGGTTGAGGCCATTGCTGAATGAAGAGAACTGGATACAGCATTTCAGCTTGCTAGTTCGCCATGAAGCGAAAAAACTTTGACTTCCGAGTATAAAATTCAGATAAAATGACCCTCCATGGGCCGTACTATAGCGTTTCCATTAACTCCGCCTCCTCCTTTTCTGGCTCATTCATATGAACGGAGGATTGAAAATAACTACAACTTTTAGGACCTAGTGATTTAAATAAGGTCTATTCATGTGTTCGTACATGGAAGTTGTTTCTTTTTGGCCCAGAATTTTGTTACATATTCTGCAATTGTTTGCTCAATTTGTGGGTAACTAAAAACCCTCTTTTTGAAAATTCACCTGTTACTCAAGATGCATCCAATCTCTTTCTTTGGTCATTCTCTGTATTTTCCGTTATTTCTGTCATACGTCAAACAAATCACTTTTTAAATACTTTTTTCTCTTTTTTTGTTGTTATGTTGTACGTTGTAAAAACGTGTTTGTTTGGAGTGGGCGACCATGGCTAAGTCGAGAGCAGGGCCGTCCTTCAATCGGCTGTTCGGTCCCAGGCTCCGCTAGTTGCATCTCTATTTGTGCAAGACACTCAACCCCAAATTGCTACCGTAGCTGTGTCTACAGCGTGATAGAATCTGAATTGTAAGTCGCTTTGGATAAAAGCATCTGCTTTTTACTGAAATGTAATGAGTGCAGGCTAGCAGCTGTGATGTGCCTACAAACACTGAATCCATTCCTTCCTATAAATATCGTAATGTATCCAGCTTCGAGCTTCTTCGAAAATGTCGTTCTTATACTGCTTATTAGATTCGCACAATACACAATTAAGGAAAACTTAATTCAAAGTCTGAGTTTGGTTCTGTTCGATGTTTAATTGCTTCATATTTCTATTGCACGCATTTGTAGGTGGTCTTGGTGGATGGTGGAAGGCCTACAAAGTACAGAACTTTGACACCAGTCACATCCTGCGTGTGGTTAGCTCACACACACACACACACACACACACTGTTCAGATCGCTGAAGCTTCCACGTCCTACCTTTTATTAAAACATTTATAACTGATAAGTAAAAGTTATGACCATTCCGTTGAAGCAAAAGTGCACCAACTCTGGTAATTCATATTTGCATTAATTTAGTGCATACTGTCCATCCTAAATTATATCCATATATAATTTGTATATGCAGATGTGCTTTTAATTAAAAGGGACAGTTCATGAAAAGAAACATTTACACATTGACATTTCAGAACACTTAAAAATATATATTATATTATTTCTGAGTCGTCAACTTTATTGCCAGCAGGCTCTGATCGCTGTAATACCCCTTACTCTCCTCCAGGGGCCGACAAAGACCACACAGCTCTTACACTAGAACCGTTCACACAACAGTGTTGTGATACATTTCTAAACACACGCAGGGTGATACAAACTGAACAGTAGTTATACAAGTGTGAGATAGCCTGTGTTATAGAATAATAAACATTAACATCCAGACATTCAGCATTTTGCCCAACAGGCTACAATACAACATACCAATACACTAAAGTGAAACAATCCTGAGGTTGATAATGGCTGAACTGTAACATATTAATTAGCTGGTACGTTAATTGTGTAAATCGGCCTATTAGGCCTTATATTGAACGTTTTATTTGGCATCAGAAGTAGGCTTCACGTTGGCATCATCAACATCATCCTAATGAGATTTATTAGTTCATATTTCTATAACATGAGCTTTATAGACACAATCAAACTCCTTTCAAAAGGACAGCAATTGCTGTCCTTTTGAATGGGTGTTTGAATGAATGCCTGTATGAGGTCAGTACAACCCCTTTACCACAAATCCGGTACCCGTGGTCCCCCCCCACCCTGCCACATCCCAGTCTAGTGAAAATTGAGAACTGCCGACGCAGCAGCTTGTTTGAAACCCTCTCCACGCTGCTCGCACCCGGCGGGGGAAACTCATGCAGTCCTCCTCAACTACAGCGTTCAGCCCGAGAGACACGGAACTCTTCCGCAAGCAACATGGCCAAAGTGACCAGCGGCGCCTCCGGTTGTCGAGCCATGGTAAAGGCAGGGAGGTATCTGTCGAGCCCGTCTCTGACTCGGTGTACCGGCGGCCAGCGGCAGCGGAAGATGTTGGGTTCACAGGGACGAGCGATGAGCGCTGACGCGGCCGGCACGGGAGGAAAACCCGCGGCTTCGGCCCAGCAGGAGCAGCTGGGCGGTTTCACCGCAGCAGACAGACACGCGCCGAGCAACCTGAATCTGATTTACCGGGATGTGAAGGCTTTTCTCAACGAAGTTGGGGGAAACCCCCGGGAGGCTCGGTACTGGCTGACCCAGTTCCAGAGAGCGACTTCGGCTCAGTCTACTGCTTTTGCTGTAATCGAGGTATGGCGGGGTCCACTTTTAGTCAGTTCATCAGATCTGGTACATGTGCTACCTAATAACGTATGTGGATGTTGTATGGAAGCTCATTTCCGCGAGTTAAAAATGTGATAGTATTAATTAGTTTTAGTAGTTTTATTATTTCTGAATTTGAATCAAATCATTATTTAATACCAAGCCATAATTATGTTTTTGGAGTAAAAACGTGGTGTTTTTTTATATGATTTTTTTAAACAAGTGGTGTAAATTGATGTATTTATGATGACCATGTTTAAAAAAAAATCCAAAACTAGTCTGAGAAAGTATATATTTTATGGAAGCTGGTGAGTAGCTGAGGTAAAAAATATTATGCTTCATAATTAATACGATGCATAGAAAATGGGAAAAACTATTTATTTGTTTGTAAATCTATCGGAGTTGAAGAGTCACCTTAAACTACCAAAAAAATAAGCAATGTAAAACAAAAAAAAAGACAAAAAAATGACTAAAGACCCATCTTCTGAAAACAATGGGGAAAAAAGACACATTGGACCACTACCTGTAACGTTATAAACACAATAATAGTTTAACTAAAGTGTATTTATAGAGCAATCCAGAAAGATTAGACATCACAAAGTGCTTCACAACGAAAGACAAAAACAGACATGAACTGCAGACATCAAGCTCAAAACATAAAAGACTTAAAATCAAACTAAAGCAAGTCTAAACAAATGGGTCTTGAACTGCTATTTTATTTTTAAAAGTGTCCACATTGTCCAATGGGGGAGAGTCTGCTTTTGTCTTGACTCTGTCCATCCGTCTGTGTCTCTGTCTCTCCTGTTGTGTTTTCTCTCTTCAGTTTATACTCCCGGTGGGCTTTTCTATCAAGTTATCAGATGTCAAGTATGACACGAGAGCCTCGGCCGGTCTGTTTTAGGCCTCACGTCTTTAGTAGACCATCTAGTTACACCAAGATATTGCCGCCTCCCGCCCCCTAGATTCCTTACTACGGTTCATCAATGTTGGGCAACGATTTCAAGGAGGATTTTTGATTAGGGGTCCGGTTAACGTAGGTTCACTTCGCCGAGTCGAGTAGACGATTTAACTACTCTGAGGCAGGTAGTACCTGTGGGTGGACTTCCCCACTTTGAACAGCCTTGTTGGTTTTATTTTGTATCGTTTTAATGTTTATCACTAGTCTCAAGTTTTATAGGAAGAATACACACTCACCTTCACGTCACAGACGATGATGTTCGTGTGTGTGTGCTAAGTTTTAACGCATGTATATTTGCAAGCAAGCACAATATGATAATGTGTTTACAATTTGTTTTCGTTTTTCTCAACACTCCCAGGTTGACAGCTCAGTTTTCGCCAGCAGGGATGTGGTCGAGAGCCTGGCCTTCGGGCTCTCCTTCCTGCAGCGCATGGACATGAAGCCCGTGGTGGTGATGGGCCGGTCCGCGTGCGAGGAGACGGGCCCGGCAGAGCCGGCGGCGGGATCTCCGTGCACCCGAGGGCTGGTGGAGCGGAGCCAGCAGCTGACCGAGGCTCTGCAGCAGCACTCGGCCTCCGTCCTGCCGCTCTTCTCCGCCGAATCCTTCCTCCTTCTGCATGAAGCCCCGCGCGGGAGCAGGTGAGGGGGTTGAGACACTGGGGGGGGGGGTTAGCTATATTGAATTGCTTTACACCAGGAGCTGATAACATGTTCACTACTGCGAGATTTTGATCAGTTTTAACATATGCAAAAGAGAAAAAAAAGTAAACGCCGTAGAGTTGCCACTAGAATTCAGCAGCAGCTCGTTGCTATGCATGCTCTTTACCCTCGACCAGTATGTGTTTACCAAACAGTAACCTAATGAACCTCAACTTCAACTTTATTCTCTCCAAAGGCAAATTGGCAAAACATACGCGATAATACACTCCCAACTCAAGGACCACTTACTAGCCTTTTACTAAGCTACACTTTCACATGGTCGTCCTCAGCAGTGGAGTAAACTCTAGAAAAATCTAGCAAGTGGACCTGGACGTGTGATTATTTTGACAACTAGTACTGTGAATAAGCTTTCATGCTTGAAGGGGAGCTTCAGTATCTTTCCGCTTGAACTCATCAGCATCAATGTACATCCACTAAAAGTGCTTGATTTTGCCACTGACTCCCACAAATTTTTATTCTGAGCGCCTGAACTCATTCTGGAAAGGAGAAGTCTCATTCTGAACACTCGCAGCCCTCATCCACATTGTCGTAATATTCAGCTAAGGCATTGGAAATCTTTCCAATAGCGCTAAGCTACGCTTTCTGTACTACGACGCAACAAACTGTTGACAACACCGGCAACTCCTCCTCCCCAACTCTCACTCAGCTTTCCACCGTTGTCTTCCAGGCAGCAAGTCACATGACACGATGACACGTGGAACGTAGAGAATTTATCTTCAGGGTTGTTTCCATAATGTTGTCAGACACAATCGCAACGAGCGATTACATTGCAGCCCGTTGAGCGGCTGCCGTCTGCAGCGTTCTTGTTTTATACGAGACACTTAGACACAGAAACATGGGAAAATAGGATCCAGGTAACCAAAGTTACCCTTAATACTATGTTATAGATATAGAAAACGCATGCTTACATCTACCAGCTCAAATAGAATACAGTGGGAATACATCCAGCCAATCATCGATTACCACTTACCACTTCATATGGAAGACTCATCATCAGCTGTGAACAGCTGACATTTTGATGGCTCAAGTGTCAAATAAAGTCTTGTCCTCTTAGACTTATCCTACAGTTATCGTTTAGTAGCTGGCTCTGTGAAACTTTACTCCCTAATGTGGATCAATATGAGTTTGTGTAAAATATAGCTAATTTCTTCCTCATTTTGATATGAAATCGAAGGTAAACGGTTCTGCTATCAGTACTGTAGAAGTTACCGAGTGAGACCTCCTCGTCTCAAACCTCCTCTCTCTGTCTCTGTCTCTTTGTGCTTTACTCTGACACACACACACACACACACACACACACACACTGTGCATCACTGGCTCAGTACAGCGTGAGACTCGCATCATGGCAGAGAGAAGAAAAAGATCCAGAGTGTGGCTACATTTACTCCTGTAAATGCTGAGAACTCTCGTTGTATCAAATGCAATAAAACCTTCACAAGTAACGGAGGTAACACCAGCAGTTTATCACAACATGTGACCAACAAGCAGAACATCAATCTGCAGAAATGCTCAGTTTTCGCCTGTCCATCCTCGTCCACTGCAGGTAACGTTAGCGATGCCATAAAGAGTTTGATAATAGGAATAGGTTAATAAATGAAAGCTAATCACTTAGCTAATTGTTTAGCTGCAAATGTACTTTATAGATTTAGGAACTTCTTGTATTGCTGCTCAAGAAAGACTATTTGTTTACATGCAAGAATAATAAAGCAATGTCGATTATTTTCTTAATTAAATACAATATAATCAAAAAAGAACCGATAAGAGTATCGATAAGGAACCGAACCGATAAGAGTACTAGTATCGATAAAATCCTAACGATACCCATCCCTAAAAAAAGTGGTCAAAATGTATGCAGCAGAGGGTTAGATATCTTGACTTTTAGTTACTATTATGAGTCAAGCTCCAAAAGTGCTGAGTCTTACATTTACCATATTGTACCTGTACCAGAAACACAAGGTTTAAACACAATGATTACACATGCAAAACATGTTGATTTAGAATTCGAATGTCAACATTATGAATGAAGCGTTGAACTACTCAGTGCAGCCCTAAATTTAAGTCTCAAGTTCATGTCAACATGATGTGGGTTAATTTTCTTCAAACTTTAGAGAACACATCCGTTTTACCGCCTTTCCTCGACCCTAACACCCATCTGACCTCGTCTTCCTCGTCCTCTTCCCGCAGCGCTCCGCCCTCCGTCACCGTGGACACCAGCCTCCTCCAGTGGAGCCTGAACTGCGGGACGATCCCGTTGGTTTGCCCGGTGGGGAGGGACGGGCGGGGCTGCTCGGTGGCGCTGGACCAGACGGTGGTGACGGCGGCGATCTCCCGAGCTCTGCAACCCCACAAAGTCATGTTCCTGAACAACTCTGGAGGTCTCCGCAGCCGAGAAAACAAGGCACGCTCTGACTAAGCTTCCACTGACATAGTAGATATAAAGTTTGTGTGTCCGGACATTAATCATTTGTATTTGTGCTACAGGTGCTGGACACAGTGTCGTTGCCCAGCGACCTGCCCAGTCTGTCCACGGCGGCGTGGCTGAGCACCGCGGAGCGCCGCAGGGTGACGGCCATAGCTACACTGCTCAATCAGCTGCTGACTGAGTCCTCCGCGGTGATCACCTCCGCGAACACACTGCTGACCGAGCTGTTCAGCCACAGAGGCGAGACCACCGACTCACTCGCTCACTCTCTCCCACGCATTTACATGCGCGGAGAGCTGTCTATTTTGAGGTGTAACCCGAGAGGGCACTGGAACATAAATATATGTGTGTGGTGATAATCAATGATTAACATGAGTGTACATGTAAATTCTTGTTCTGTCTATTTGTGGTTCAGGGTCGGGGACACTCTTTAAAAACGGAGACCCCATACACCGGCAAGTACTTGTCACACATACACGGTTAATCCGACCCGTAACCCTAAATCCCCCAAAGTCATGGTTTCTTTCTTCTTCTTCAGAAATTTAAAGGTACAGGAGCATGCTGTGCATTTGACTCACCTATTGGATTTATAGTGAATACATGTTCCGTGTGTGCAGGTACAGCTCCCTGGAGGGCATTGATGCAGAGCGCCTGCTGGCCCTCATCAACGTGTCGTTTGACAAAACTCTGAGGCGAGACTACATCGACTCCCTGAAGGGACGACTGCACTCCATCTATCTCTCCGAAGGGTGCGTGCAAAGCAACGTCCACAGATAAATCCAGATCGGAGTCAGCAATGCAATCTGTGTCCTGTCCTCTCTCCTGAACGTCTTTTCTATCCCTCCGTCCCTCCAGCTACAGCGCGGCGGCCATCATCACCGTGGAGCCGGTGAACAGCGGCACCCCCTACCTCGACAAGTTTGTGGTGAGCAGCAGCAAGCAGGGTCAGGGCACCAGCCACATCCTGTGGGAATGTATCAGACAGGACCTGGGCAAACTGTTCTGGAGGTCTAGAGCCACCAACAGGATCAACCCCTGGTGAGATGCACACACATTTGAAAAAGTCTCATGTTGGTATTTACATTACACTAATTTGTCCAAAGATACTTACAGTGTGTGTATTCCCCCGTTCACAGCAGTGCATTGCTTAGCTTCCGTGCATCAGGGCTGTACATCCTTAGTGTCACTGCCTGCTGTTCCAACCTCATTAATAAGTTCCACGTCATGTTTTATTCTCAAACTACTTCTGTGTCACATTTTACAATATGATGTGACCATCTGCAATGTAAGGTAGTACAATCAAAGGTGCAATGTGTAGGATGTAGCACCATGCGCTAAACAAATAGGTGGTCCACATATCACTCTATACAGGTCCATTCAATCTAAAATGTACAGTCATCAGAAAGCCAACTTCTAACTAAAACGCAAAAGTCTGATATCTTCCAATCTTTACGTTAGCCGATTAAATCCAAAGTGGTAGAAACTTTATGGTTACTTCACTTTTTTACCAAAAATTGCACCTTTTAAGACAAAAAATGGAATCCGATTTAAACGGCTTCACCAGACGTTTCATAATTTAGTTTTATCGTCAATGTAATAACTGTTAACATGCCACCAGGTTGTGGTGCCGTGTGTTCACATTGGACCACTCTGCTGTTGTCGGCATGCCTCCCTGTGATTGGCTCAGCTATTTCAGAGCTATGAGAGCAACAATGTGACCGGCCTATTATCTAACCACCACACCCTGTGATCTATATTCCTCTTCACTGTTGCACTTAGACCTACTGCTCATACGTTGACCAAGATAGCAGGTGCACCCCGAGACCTACCGCTTTGCATCTGTTGTTTAGCCATTAAAACGGGGCCCTTAGCCTTGTTACGAAATGATTTCAAAATAAACAACGGCACCTGGACGTTCTCTCTCTCTGTGTGCAGGTACTTCAAACACTGTGATGGCAGCTTTGTTAACGGGGTGTGGACCGTCTTCTGGTTCGGTCTGACAGACATCAGAGATTCCTACGAGCTGGTGGAGTACGCCAAGAACCTCCCCGACTCTTTCCACGTGTCCTCCCACACCGCCTCCGGCGGGTCCTGAACCACCTCCTCCCAGCTGATGGCTGTGTGGCTCCTTAACTCGGCTATGAATCTATCAATATTGTTTCCTTATCTTTGCTCTGACTTGACTTTTTTTCTATTTTGGATTTTTTTTTTTTCTCTTTTAAAAACTTGAAAACCAAATCTGCAGTGAGAATTTCATACTTGCAGAATGTTTACGAACTTTTAATCATCCTCTATTCTGAGGGCTGGGGTTAGCTCTAAAGCTCATCCTCACTTTGCTAAGAAACACCACTAAGGTATTTTCCACTTCATTTTAAACACAATTTTCTTTCTTTCTATTTATTTATTTTTTTAATTCCAAACGGAAGTGATGTTTTTCACACTCGTGATGCTGTCCAGAGTGGAGGAATCTCAAAACTACGGTCTTATGTATTTACCAAAGACTGTCTGGCATTACAGAATTGTTCCTCACATTTGGAAACACAAACGGGGTGTAGTTTAAGGGGGAATATGTTTTATGGTCATATGTTTGCATCTATAACTTGAATATACACATAAAACCTACCCATAAAAAAGCTATTTTATGCTATTTTATTATTAATGTATATTAATAATATTAATTATTTGATAAATTGGGGCCCATATCTGAAAGGTGTTAATGTTATATGTACAGATATGATATTTTTGGCCCAGGACTTACTTCATCCTAATGTTATGATTGCAGTAATAACTTTTCAGAATGTTACACAGTGCATAATGTTTTCTTTAAAGATACTGGATGTGCTGTTTTTCAGTTGGTTTTTTTTCCATCATGTTTGACATATTTCCTACGGATTAGTTTTCATCACACAGCAGGTTGAGCTGAAGATGGAGGATAAAGGACGATGTGTCTCTGAGCTCCTGTGTATTTTGGCTTTGGTTCTTACTAAACCGGTCTATGAGTCATGTGACCTTTTCTTTGGTTCGTCTCTTGGCAAACCGGTTACTGAGTAACCGTAACAGAGAGGCTTGCAGTATTTAGTGGGAGGGGAAGTTGCAAAGAAGTGAGTTGATTAGATTTGTATGCTAACTGGTCGCTTTACTTCAACCACAATGTTTTGTTATTGCAAATGCAGTGAGGGGTGTGTGTGTGTGGAACCTCCTTGAAATACACTGGTCTACTGAGGACAGTTTGAAGACGCTTAATCAGGATTAAAGGAGCCTTCACTTGCAGTTTAGTCTGTTTTTATTTTCAAGTGTTCATGAGTTGGGATGCCCCCCGAAAGCCGGTTCTAAACGGGAACCGGTTCCAAATTAGTGGTGTTGACAAGGTCCAGGGTAAACGGTTCTGCTATCAGTACTTTAGAAGTTACTGAGTGAGACCTCCTCATCTCAAACCTCCTCTCTGTCTCTCTCTCTGTCTCTTTGTGCTTTACTCTGACACACAGACACACACACTGACTCCGGCTCAGTACAGCATGAGACTCGCATCATGGCAGAGAGAAGACAAAGATCCAAAGTGTGGCTACATTTTACTCCTGTAGAGGCTGAGAACTCTCTTCACAAATGCAATAAAACCCTTTAAAGTAAGGGAGGTAATACCAGTAATCAAAACATTCAGCAGAACATTAATCTGCAGAAATGCTCAGTTTTTCTACTGTTTGTGGAGCAGCCGTCCATCCTCGTCCACTGCAGGTAACGTTAGCAATGCCATCCGGAGTTTGATCATAAGAATAGACTAATAAATTAAAGCTAAATGCTAAGCTAATTCTTTAGCTGCAGAGGTATTTAATGGATTTTGGAACATCTTGTATTGCTGTTCAAGAAAGACTATTTGTTTGCCTACAAGAACAATAAAGCAATGTCAATTATTGTCTTAACCCTCCGGTCGTGTTCGGGTCAAATCTGACCGATTTACAACTTTAATTAATCATAAATATTGTGTTTTACATCAGATTGCCTCAAGGCCTCATGATATCCTCCACACTAGGCATTTGAACATATCAAATTGGTGATCACCACTTTCATTGAATTTTTAGTGGTTTAGTCAACTTTGTAACACCCATGGTGTTCCCGGTCAAAAGTGACCGCCATAGGAAATGAATGGGAAACACTAGATTATGTCCATTCATCAGATGGAAAACAGCCCCATACACACCCACACAACCACAATAACACCAATACACACACACACACACAGCTGTGTGAACACCTGTTCACAGGCCCATATATAAAGTTGTACACATTTCAAACTTCAAACAAAAAAAGCAGGTGTTTGTTATGGGAACCCATCTCTATACCACATTTATGTGCCCATCCCCCCACGTGAACCACACCTTCCAGACCAAACAATGTTTCATATCTTCTCACTTTGCCCCTAAATAAACCTTTATCTGTGCCTTGCTCTCATTTTACTCTGTGAGCACAATGAGTAGGCCACTGATGAGGTGATTTTCTGTCAGAGAGGCTCTGGACCTAATATTTGAACCAGATGAAGAGGAGATAGAACCGGAGATAGAGGAAGATGTCTCAGAAATTGAAGACAACATTGATCCTGATTTCGATTCGGACTATTATGAGACTGACCAGTCAACAAATGGCGAGGAAATGGCACCAGAGAAACAGGCACCTGAGGTGACATTCCAGACCAAGGGTGGAAACTTGCTCTGGTATTCATCCTCCCAGGACAGAGGAGGCAGAGCGAGAGTTGAAAACATAATAAGGATGACGCCAGGGCCAACATGATATGCAACATCTCTTGTGGATGACATCAAGTCCAGCTTCCAACTCTTTTTACCAGAGTCCATTGAGGGTATTATACTGGACATGACAAACCTGGAGGGGAGGCGTGTGTTTGTGGACACGTGGAGAGCATTGGACCAGACCTCCAAGCCTACATGGCTCTGTTGATTCTAGCAAGAGTATATCGGTCAAACAATGAGGCTAGAAAAAGTCTGTGGGATGGGGAGTCCGGGAGACCTATATTCCTGTCAACAATGTCCTTACAACAGTTTCATTTAATTTAGCGATACATTTTCAGTGTCTATTCTTTGTATATTCACAGCAGTTATTCACGTAAACCACTAGTCTGAAACATTGTTTACAGCTTAAAAATGTGTTAAATACAATTTGGTGATGATTAATGTTTTTTGTGGTAATGTAAGAGCAGTTAAAACAGACTGGTCAAATTTGACCGGGAACACTAAAGTAAGGGGGGAGAAAGGAACACGACAGGCGGGTTTTCTTAACTGTGGTTTTCGAGAGTATCGAGAAGGAACTGAACTGATAAGCAGTATCGATAAAATCCTAACGATACTCTTGCCTATTCAGTGTGACATGTTTCCTCCTCAGTCTTCACTTGTTGCGGTCCTTGCTGCACCCTCATATGTAAACAATGTGATGCTATATAATAGCTAAGATGATTTAATGCTATTCGATATCTTGGACCGATGATGATGATTTCATCCCTGCGCTCCGTGCTCCGGGGGTTGGGAATGTGATGGTGAGACAGAGCAGAACTTGAGTTGAGATTGGAGTTGGCTTAAATCGCGATGGCTCACTAGCACAAGCTTAAATAACCCTGCCGATTTGTATGTTTATGATAAAGTGAATCAAGCCTCGGAGGTGGTGAAGTTAACATTTGTATGGACAATATTATACCCAATGGTGAGATTTATTTCAGAAGGGTTTTTTGGCGGTTTCAGTTTTATAGGGTGGGTAGATTTTTTTTAAATTGAAATATGACTTCATTCTCGACTTCTCGGAGAACAAAAATACAGTATGTGAGATAAACAGCCTCCATTTCGATGCTTCTAAATGCACTCTAGCAGCTCATTTACAATAAAAGTAAATGTCTTAATCATTGAAAAACGTAAATATGGTTAACTTTCTACTTCTACTCCACTACAGCTCACAGGGAAAATATTGTACTTTTTACTCCACTACATTTATCTGACAGCTTTAGTTCCTTTACAGATTCAGATTATTTAAAAAAATATATATTGAACTAATAAATGATTATGTATGATTATAGAGTAAACTACTCAGCAGTATATAAAGTAAGTAAAATGAGCTCCAACTTTACAAGCTACAACATTAAAATGATGAACACATTAATGTATCAATATACTGTATATTGTAAGGGACTGAGGTCCAGGGTAGTTAGAGGAATCTACATTCAGGCCAGAGGGCTCCACCCACTCCTTCAGGAGAGCATTGGGATCAGGTGTGGGAAGAGACACACCTGATCCTGATCTCCTCATCAGGGAGATGAACAAATGTGAACATTTTGTGATCTTGAAGCTTGAAGTGTGTTTAATTAAATACCCTTAAAACTTGCAGAACTGACTGCCTCTGATTTCTGTGCTGCCACTATTTCCTGTGTCCTTCGTACAATCCTGTTACAATATAATACAATAACAATATATATTATTCTGCATAATGATCCTACTTTTACTGTTGGTAGCCAACTTTAAGTATTTGTTGATGCTAATACTTTTAAACTTCCATCCATTCATTAACCTCAGCTTATCTGGGGTCTGGTCGCTGGGGCAGCAGGTTTAGGAGGGTATTCCAGACGTCCCTCACCCCAGCAATTCTTTCCAGCTCTTCCTGGGGGACCCCAAGGTGTTCCCGGGCCAGACGAGATATGTGATCTCTCCAGCGTTTTCTTGTTCTACCTCAGGGCCTCTTACCAGTTGGACATGCCCAGATAACTTCTAAAGGGAGGCATCTAGGAGGCCTGCTGTTCAGATGCCTGAACCACCTTAGCAGGCCCCTTTCGATGCGAAGGAGCAGCGGCTCTACTCAGAGCTCCCTCCGGATGTCTGAGCTCGTCAATCTATCTCTAAGGCTGAGCCCAGCCACCCTACGATGGAAGCTCATTTGGGCCGCTTGTATTTGGAATCTCCTTCTTTCGGTCACAACCCAAACCTCATGACCGCAAGTGAGGGTTGGAACATAGATGGATTGTTTAATCGAGAGCTTTGCCTTCTGACTCAGCTCCCTCTTCGCGACAACAGTCCAGTACAATGCCCGCAGCACTCCTGACACCGCACCTGTTTGTCTCACGCTCTATGTTACCCTCACTCATGATGAAGAGCCCAAGATACCTGAACTCCCTCGCTTGGGGCAGTCAACCTCACACTCGGCTGCAATCCGCCCCACTAATTGCTAAAGGACATGTTCTATAGTTGCCAACAGAACCACATCATTTGCAAAATCAGGGATTTAATTCTGAGGTTCCCAAACCAGCTGCTCCTTACAATCCTGGATTGGTGACAAGGGACACCCTGGCAGAGGACAACACGCACTGGAAACGTGTTTGACTTTGTGCCGGGTACCTGGACATAGCTCTCACTTTGGTCATACAAAGACCGGATGGCTCGTAGCAACGACCGAGGTACCCCGTACAGAACTCCTCGAGGAACACGTTCGTAGGCCTTCTCCAAGTCCACAAAACACATGTGCTCATGTGGGTAACGATGAATGGCCGTTCCTCCCAATCCTGGGTGATTGGGAGGATCTGAACCCAAGTACAGTAGTGCTTTGTTGTTAGACTTCTCTGCTATTCATGGATTGGCCATAACAAACACCATGTTCGAGCATAGGGCAGTTCACCAGCTGTGAAGGCAGCCGTCAATCTGAAGAACGAGGCCTTCTGGGCATGGCTAGCCCAGATGTCTCGGGGACAGTGCCTGTGGAGTGGCAGACCGGGATGGCGGTTTCCATTCTTAAAAAGGGGGACCGGAGAGTGTGCTCCAATTATTGGGGTATCACACTGCTCAGCCTCCCTGGGAAACTTTATTCCAGGGTGCTGGAAAGTGTTATGATTCAGGGACCTCCTAGACTGTGGGGAAACGGCATGTGATCCAGCCTCTGCTACAAAGACAGCCGGTTTCAATTATGAACAAAAGTATTTAATACTTCTGATGCTAATACAATTACACAGTGTAACACATTAATTACAGTATCTATAGATATATATTCTCTGCGCAGAGAGCATCTCACCCTCACCCCAGACTGGGAGCACAGCTGTTCCCACCTTGAGACGAGAGCAAAGAGACTGATTCTCTGCCAACACTTTCTGATCACAATTTGAAATCCCCTCCTCTTGTCCATTTTAGTTCCGATTGGCTAACTCCAGCTGGCTCCTCCTCTCAGCCATCTAGGACCCCCTGGCTCGGGTGATGCTCTGTCTGAGTCCGCTGAAATTGCCTGTCTATAAATCTGACTCTCCCATGGCTATTCTTCACAGTTTAATACATTCAATGACTGTCTTTTATGGTTTAACACTTCTATGATAAACATTGGATTCTATATAAAGATAAGGATTTGCAACTTTTGACAAAAGCTTCACAAGCATAGCTCTAAGGTGCTACAATTCTCTTAAGATACACTTCTAACTACAAATACTAAAACACTTCTACAATTATGAATTTTCTAATTATGTATTCCAAAACACTTCTAATTATGATTTCTTAATTATGAATTATTAAACCCTTCTATTATAATTTCTTAAAACCCAGTTCTAAACCCAAATGTCCTACAAAAGGAGGATCCGATCCAGGAGGAGCCATGTGGATTACGTCCTGGCCGTGGAACAGTGGACCAGCTCTTTACCCTTGCAGGTCTGTTGGAGGGGGTCATGGAAATTTGCACATCCAGTCTGCTTTTAAACTTTTACTTGAGTAATATTTTGAATGCAGGATTTTTACTAGTATTTTACACAGTAGTATTTTTACTTTTACTTAAGTGAAGATCTGAGTACTTATTCCACCGCTTCATTTAATTAGTTTATTGAAATATTAAAAGCGTTTCCTTTCACACACACACTTTTCAGATACAGTTGATGCAGTGTAGCGCATAGACCGTACCTCTCCTTCTGCTGTCTGTCTTTCTCTCTCCAAAGTACGTTCACGCACAACAACACTTTTCACCTGTATAGAGTAAAAATAATCATTTACCCCATTTAGTTCATTTTGTAGCCACGCTGCAAGAAGCCCAATGCAATGCAACGTGAGGTTTGGTTAAAACGGCCCCTATTATTGTTAGGTTTGAAATAAAAGTATCACAGAATGAAGTGGAACTGGTTTGTCTGCTGCAGGATAATCTTTAGAACATACACACTTCCGCATTGGCTTCACTTTTCAGACCCGGAGGTAGCTGCCTGGTAAGTACACCTTTCTCTGGGTTCATGACGAGCTACTGTTTGTTAGTTAAGGGATAAAACCCAACATGTGATGGGGCTAAGAACCACCAGAAGCCAAATTGAAAATGTCTTGCATCGACTGATACTTAAAAAAATGTGTTTTGTTGGTTTGGTTTTAACTTTAAAAACCTCCTCTCATCGCGTCTCTTCCTCACCTCCTCTGCTTTCATCTCAGATATAAGGGACCAAGATGAAAGCAGAACAGGCGGGAAAGGAATCAAGGATGTATAAACTGAGAAATAAGCAAAGCCCATGGTGTTCCTAATGGTACTTGGAGTTAGTGGTATTGTAACTGGAGTCCAGGGTGTGGCGATCAGACAAGAGCAACATATTTGTTTATGTAGGTAGGTGAATGTTGTCTACACTGATGAAAATGTCTTGATCTTCTTCTCTTTTTGGCCTCTATGAGGTTGAGATAAACTTTACTCTCTTTCTCTCTCTCTCTCTAGTCTTTTTCCAATCAATCAACATGAAAAGGTAATGTGCACAACATTTGTCAGCCAATTGTAGTTTTTAAAAACTAATTCAATACTGTAGGTTTATTTATTGAAACATTTCAAGCTGATTTTGTGTTCACAGTGGATAATGTGGGTAACATTAGCATGTAGAATGTAGAAGTGTAATGACACTCTTATAAGAATTTAATGATTTGATAATTCATATTAAATGTTGATATATATATTTGAATACTTAAAGGGGACATTTGATGAAAAACTCACTTTTTCATTGCTTGTGCACATCTATTTGGGTGTCCAGTGTGCCTTCCGACCCACAAATTGTGAAATAAGACAACCCTCTAATTGTTTTCTTGGCTGCCTAGATCAGAAAACATGTGATTCAACAAGCCATTTAGGTTTAGCTTGCCATCTTATGTCATGTGCATCGTTAATTAGCATCTCCACCCACGGCTGGAAAACTACCACTGCAAAGGTGCACCATATTTCTGTCGCAAGGAAGCTAAAAAAAAGAGCGTTTCAGACGGGGTTGATACAGTTATTTTCAGACGGACGGTATTTGAAGAATAATTAGTTTTTTGAACATTTAAGCATGTAAACATGTTCAAGTAGAAACCCCAAATATAAGTGTGAACTTGAACAATGAGCATGATATTTCCTCTTTAAGTTGTTCTATGTTGCTGTTTTTATGCTTCCAGTGTTTGATCCACCACAAAGGAGCAAGCTTTTCAGAGCCACCATTCAAGCCTGCAGGTGGTCAGTATTCAATACTCAAAAGTCCACTCAGTCAATATTCTGTGTATTAAGTATATGTAACTTAAGTTCAGGCTTAAAAAATACATCATGAGTGTGAGAGGATAATTATTTCTAAAAATATAGTCAGTTTTATCTTAAGTGGGTTAACTGAGAACCAATTAACTTATTTTATAACTAGCTTTTTAACTATATCATTTACATAATTAAAAAATATTATTCATTCCACTTAAATGGGAACTTCACTCTTCTGTTGCTCTATGTGGTCTACTGAAAAACAATATGAGTTGCCTTATGGGAAATTCACCCCCTAGTGTTTTAGAGCTTCACCTAGAAGGGACTAAAAGTTAGAACATGCTCTGATCTTGACCACTCTTGTTTAAATCTGTCGCTTATGAGACTCCCAACATTATGGAGGTAAGGCACTAAATCACTGTACTACCCCTTTGACAAATACACACATCATGAATACATTTTAGTTTATATTATCTAATGATTATTACATTAAGGGTTGCCTCGTGTGCCAAACTTGTAGCACTGTAATACTTGTAGTGTTATAACCAACACATTCACAAACTGTTAAATACTACATAACATACTTATTACTGTATTAATTGATGTTAATGAAAAGCACCCTGACTGTAAATTGTGACCAAGGTGTAATCATGAAAATAGAATCCGAGTAGAACAGAGATTCCATTCCAATCAACGTGGCAGGATGGTCAGAGCGGCGGCTAACTAACATTCATACAACATTCACACACCACACAGCTGGAGGAGCAGTTTGGGGTTAAGTGTCTTGCCCAGGGACACATTGACATGGACTAGCGGAGCCGGGGATCCTCTAATTGAAGGACGACCCTGCTCTACCACTGAGCCACAGTCGCCAACAGTCGAGTACCCTTATGAAGCGTAAATGAGTAAAACTTGAAGTAAAATTAAATTAAACTTACTGCTCCATCCACACACTCTTGTCACAGCGCAGGAAAGCACATTGCTATTGCCAGATGAGTGACAGCATTGTAGCATTAAAGCATGGTGGAATTAGCAAGCTAGCTAACTAGCTGGCACCTGGCTTGCTAGCTACACTGGTTACAGAAAATAAGCCAAAGAGCGGGTTGGTGGCCAGTGGCAGCGCTGGGTCTAATGCTGTAACATTGGCCCTTTTCTGTGAAGTCAAAAGACAATAGAAACAATGCCTGTTTTAATCCAATTCTATTTCTATGGGTAATGGTATTTCAGCAAGAAGAAACCATGGCAAGACCTGTAGAGCTGCTGGCAACATTGGAGGATTTGGCAGATGAAGAGTTCAAAAAGTTCAAATGGTACCTGCAGCAGGCTGAGGTCTTGGGAGGCTTCTCACCAATGTCAAAGATTCAATTAGGGAATGCGGACAGGATGGACACAGTGGACGAGATCATAGAGACCTACGAAAAAAATGCAGTGGAGGTGACCATTATGGTTTTGAAGTTGATGAAAAAGAATGACTTGGTGCAGCGATTATCAAACATCAGCTCAACATCCAAAGGTAAGTAAAACAATAAAGGGAAAAAAAGAAGATAAAGAAATGCACAAAACAGAAAGAGTTAGCTGTGTAACTGCAGTGCGACAAATTACACCCGTAACCATGGCAAAGATGTGCCACTGGCACCAACTGTAAAATAATGTGTCGTACTGCTCCCTTACTGCTCTGTGCTGCCAGACATCCCTCTGCCATATACCAACTTTTTAAACAGGTTACACTGATTTTAATTTCGGTGCACCAGCACATAATTTAGGTGTCCCCAAAATGTTTCACCGTGCCTTTTGGCTTTTGTCAGTTGCCATACATATTGGCAATTTCTAAACACATTAGGTAAATGATTATAAACAGGAATAAGGGTGCAGATGATTGTTTTTGAGTCAGATGAGGCCCTCTAAAGATGTTGGGTCAGAGGGGCGTCGAAAGTAGAGCTCCAAGGGTCATTGGCCCCCCCACCTAAAGCCCCTTTCCTGTATTGTGGACGAGAGTAGAAAAAGAAAACGACTTGTAAAACGCCACGCCACCAGTGACGGCTGGCCAATAGAGGGCAATTGGGCCTGGCCCCACCTTGAGCCACATAAAAATATATATATATATATATATATATATGTATAATAAATTATACAAATTGTCAATATTTGTTTTTGAACTGTGGAATGTACCCAGTAATATGTGTAAAATGTGATATCTGCGCAAAATATATGCTTTTCCTGCTCGTCCTCTCGTCTGTGTGCTCGTCTGCTCGTGCTCTCCGCCTGTGTGCACGACACGTCTCAGAACGCGCAGCTAGGGGGTCAAAATCGTTTTTGCCCAAAAGAGGCGGGTCTATGAAGCAGTTTAGCCAATTGCTGATTAAAGATATAAATGAGTGACATACAATTTAGCCAATCAGCGCCCTCAAATAGATTCAGTGTGGGGCCAAAACGATTTTGCCCCCCTAGCTGCGCGTTCTCGTCAGGAAGTCTCTACAGGCGAGCGCAAGTGCCAGCGCGAGCACTACTCTTCCAAGACCCATTTGAGAGGAGAACTTTGGCGGAGATTCTGCAGGCTAAAGAGCTGATCCCAGATCAGCCTGACCTCACAATCAGACAGCAGACTAGCGGGAAAGGGAAGCAGTACAAGCGAAGCTTCTGTACTAGCTGAACACCAGACAGGTTTGGCTAGCTGGATGACGTCATGCTAGCTGTCATGTTAGCTTTTTAAAACAACGGGGACAGATCCAGCATGACAGTTAGGGAGTGAGGGATGAGGAGGTAAGGACACATGAGAACACCAGGACACACATGGAAAACTCTGTCAAGCTACATATTAGGCAAAGTGAAGATCTTTTCTTCTACATAGCTGTCCTCAGTCTCATCTGCTTAACTTGGTGATGGAGGCATCAACATGTAATTGAGATGGTAAATTAACAGTGAAAACTCATCATAGCTTAATTTAACATCAGTATTCATAATTACACTTCATGTTTACTTCTCCTAATCTTTACTTCCTATAACAAGGTCCATAGGGGCATCTCAATAAATAAACATGTTCTATTATATTATATAAGTGTTATTTACTGCTTTTTTTCATGTTGGAATAAATGTTAAATATTTAACTGCAAAGTAGTAATGCGTGTTTGATACTTTATTTTTTTGCATTAAATCATACTGTGATGTTTGCTGAAATTGATAGGATGGCCCTACCTAGAAAATGTTCCACCAGCCGCCACTGCACACCACACTTTGTTGCTCACAGTATTACCCTGTCAAAAGGGCCAAGGCCACCCCCACCCCACTCTGGTCAGGATTAGCCATTTTACCGGGAACAGGGGAGACAGGTGGTGGAGTGGTTACCTCTGCCAATAGTGTCTGTTGTTGGTTGGTTTAAAGTCCGGGGACATATGTAATGTGCACTGCAGCATTTTTCTTGAAAAAAAACCCCAACAAACAACCACTAGTTCACTTGTTGAAAAACTTAATTTTGAATTACCAGTATATTTTAATGTCGCTTGAGGAGGAGTACAAGGCACAGTGTCATACAAACACACAGAGACTGGAAATGTTAGCATTGCTACACTTAATATAGCATATTGTAATTGGTGTCATCTCTTGCACATTCATTCAGAGACTCTCATTGATTGCCAGCGTAAAGTTAAATCCAACCTGGGGAAGAAGTTTCAGCATTTGTTTGAGCAAGCCACAACATCTGGAAAGCAGATTTTGATGAAGGAGCTCTACACTGACCTCTACATCACAGAGGACAAGACTGGGGAGGTCGACACAGAAGAGGAGGTATCCACAGAAACAGTTGATTTGGATCACGCTATCAACATAGAAGACCTCTTTGAATGCTTATCTGGTCAAGATGGATCAGTGAGAACATTACTGACAAAAGGAGCAGCAGGCATTGGGAAAACAGTCTTGACACGGAAGTTTGCCCTGGATTGGTCCGAAGACAAAGTCAACAACAATATCCAGTTTGTATTTCCATTCACTCTCCGGGAGTTGAATTTGCTTGAGGAAAAAAAATACAGCTGGGTGGAGCTTCTTCATCACTTCTTTGCTGAGACCAAAGAAGCAGGAATATGTGGTTTTGATAAACTCCAGCTTGTGTTCATCCTCGATGGTCTGGATGAGTGTCGACTTCCTTTAGACTTCCACAACAACGAGATCCTGACTGATGTTACCGACTCGGCTTCAGTGGACGTGCTGCTGACAAACCTCATCATGGGGAAACTGTTCCCTTCTTCCTGCCTCTGGCTGACCACAACACACGAGGCAGCCAGTCAAATCCCTCCAGGGTTCATTGACATGGTGACAGAGGTGAGAGGGTTCACTGATCCAAAGAAGGACGAGTACTTCAGAAGGAGATTCAGGAATAAGGAGCTGGCCAGCAGAATCATCACCCACATCAAGGCATCACGAAGCCTCCACATCATTTGCCACATCCCAGTCCTCTGTTGGATCACTGCGACAGTTCTGGAGGATTTGTTGAAAACCACAGAAAGAGGAGAGCTGCCCAAGACCTTGACTGAGATGTATATCCATTTTCTTTTAGATCAGTCCAAACTGGCAAATGTCAAATATCATGAAGGAGCTGAGAGAGAATCACTCTGGAACACAGAGACCAGTAAGATGATTGTGTCTCTGGGAAAGCTGGCTTTTGAACAGCTGCAGAAAGGCAACCTGATCTTCTATGAAGCAGATCTTAAAGAGTGTGGCATTGACATTAAAGCTGCTTCTGTGTACTCAAGCGTGCTCACACAGATCTTTAAGGAGGACCGTGGGCTGAACCAGGACAAACGATTCTGCTTCGTCCACTTGAGCTTTCAGGAGTTTCTGGCTGCCCTTCATGTCATTGTGTCCTTCGTCAACTCTGGTGTCAACGTCTTGTCAGAAGAACAATCAACCTCCCCACAGTCTGCTCTCATCACTGGGCACTCTTCAGTCAATCAGCTCTTCCAGAGTGCAGTCAACAAGGCTTTACAGAGTCCAAATGGACACCTGGACTTGTTCCTCCGCTTCCTCGTTGGCCTCTCACTGCAGACCAATCAAGCACTTCTTCAAGGCCTATTGAATCAATCAGGAAGTAGCTTACAGAGCAATCAGGACACAGTCCAGTACGTCAAGGAGATGATCAGGAAGAATCCCTCTCCAGAGCAACGCATCAACCTGTTTCACTGTCTGAATGAGCTGCGTGATCATTCTCTGCTGGAGGAAATCCAACAGTACCTCAGTTCAGAATGTCTGTCCACAGACAAACTGTCTCCTGCTCAGTGGTCGGCTCTGGTCTTCATCTTACTGTCATCAGAGAGCAAGTTAGATGTGTTTGACCTGAAGAAATTCTCTGGTTCAGAGGAAAGTCTTCTGAGGTTGCTTCCAGTGCTTCAAGCCTCCAGTCTATCTCTGTAGGTGCACAACTTACTTGACATATTTGATATTGTAAATGTTACATTTTTATGTTCTTGTTTATTCTTTCTGACTGTGACATCCACAGGTTGAGTGGCTGTAAGCTGTCTCAGAGAGTCTGCGATGCTCTGGCCTCAGCTCTCAGCTCCCCGACCTCTAATGTGAGAGAGCTGGACCTGAGCTACAACAATGTGACAAATTCTGGAATCCAAGAGCTCACGGGTGGCTTGAAGGAATGTAGACTGGAAACTCTCAGGTCTGCTTGCTTTACTTAAGGCTGTTTTTAACATCAGTTTTACGATATCTGTGTGGCTTTATAGCAAGGTCAGTGGTCAGTCCACCACTTTAATCTAGGTATAAATATATGAAACATCTTATTTGGTAGAGACATTTATGGTTCCCAGATGATCGATGCTAAAGAGATTGGTAATCTTTTTCTCTAGTTTCTTTTGGTTAATATTTAACAATCTCAACAACTATTGGATGGATTACCATGATATATGGTACAACCAGGGCATGTGAGCAGAGTGGACCGGTGAGAATTTCAGCTCATCATTCACGGAGCTGTTCGCCGTTTACAGATTTTCAATGTTCTGGAGTTATTGACATTTTTTGCATCATACAAGCTTGTGCAATACATGTGCAATACACACACATTCTTTGTCGAACTCAATAGGACTGCTTCAAACTCATAGTGTGTGCAGTACCGGAGTGAAATTGGAGCGGGAGATAAGGTGACGCTCAAGCTTTTATGAAAATCTACCCGGCACTACATCCAAAATCCTTCCACTCACACTTCACTCCGCTCACATGCTCGGGTACAGATGTTCATGGTCCAGACAGGATCAATTGGAATTGTTGGTCATTTCTAAATTTTGCTCCATCATTATCATTATCTTCAAAATTTCTATTTGTCCAAATCCTTGGATCATGCTAACTTTGCACTCGCCACCTCACTTGTAGAGATTGGAGGGGAAATGTATATTTGGGAAAACCGTGCAAGTCTTTTACATCTTTCCAAATATAAATTAGTTTTACATTAACTATTGTTTCTGATTCTGACAAGTCTAAAAAGACACAAGTAGCCTTGAGTAGCCGTTATGGCTAACTGCATAGGGAAGTTGATCGCTTTTTTGCTCAGCTAACATTACAATCCCTCACATAAAATAGCTTTGTATGTGTTTTTCATGTTTGGTCCAGCCTCCCTGCCTTTCCTGCCAGTTGACTTTAGGGAGAAGAAACAGTCTCGAGGACACCAAGGTCGATCAAAGCTGCATTTTCATTTGTTTTAGCTTCATAGCGGAAACATTTCCAAGTCTCTTTTTTTAGCTCTTTCTGTGACCTAGAAGACAGTATAACTGCAGTGAAAGTCAGCTTCACACATGGAAACAAGCCGGCGAGCGAGAATGAATGTGTAGGTTGGTTAGGTGAGCTGGCAGGTGGACCTGGATGTAGCTCCCGTTATAGTTGTTCCTATGGGTCATTCTAAGGGACTATACGTCCTGTGACAAACTCAAACAACCACAGGAGACTTTTGCTTGCCAATATACAGTGGGTACGGAAAGTATTCAGACCCCTTTAAATTTTTCACTCTTTGTTTCATTGCAGCCATTTGCTAAAATCAAAAAAGTTCATTTTATTTCTCATTAATGGACACTCAGCACCTCATCTTGACAGAAAAAACAGAAATGTAGAAATTTTTGCAAATTTATTAAAAAAGGAAAAACTGAAATATCACATGGTCATAAGTATTCAGACCCTTTGCTCAGTATTGAGTAGAAGCACCCTTTTGAGCTAGTACAGCCATGAGTCTTCTTGGGAATGATGCAACAAGTTTTTCACACCTGGATTTGGGGATCCTCTGCCATTCTTCCTTGCAGATCCTCTCCAGTTCCGTCAGGTTGGATGGTGAACGTTGGTGGACAGCCATTTTCAGGTCTCTCCAGAGATGCTCAATTGGGTTTAGGTCAGGGCTCTGGCTGGGCCAGTCAAGAATGGTCACAGAGTTGTTCCGAAGCCACTCCTTTGTTATTTTAGCTGTGTGCTTGGGGTCATTGTCTTGTTGGAAGGTGAACCTTCGGCCCAGTCTGAGGTCCAGAGCACTCTGGAAGAGGTTTTCTTCCAGGATATCTCTGTACTTGCAGGGTTCGTACGGTCATGGAAAACCTGGAAAAGTCATGGAATTTTTAAATGGTTATTTCCAGGCCTGAAAAAGTCATGGAAAAAAAAAAATCCCAAAAGTTTTGGAAAAGTCATGGAAATTTGTTATATTCATATTTTCATGTCGTTCATTTACGCTGAGTTGCCAGCCAGCGTTTCTCAGATTAGAGTGAGACGAGGAGAAAAGGTGATGTCGTGATCTTCGCAATAGAACATCTTTGATGTGTCGAGTCTTGGCCAATCAGCGTCTTCATTTCCCTCCGTTAAAGTTTGAGTTATGTCATGTTCCGTTACCGTTCAGACTTGCTGGGTTAAGTTAACGTCCACAGCATGCGGAACTTTATCGACTGTTAACGTTCGTCATTATCGCGATTTAGAAGGAACAAACGTAACGTGATGAAACATGCAGCCCCCCCGTGTTCCGGTTCAGTTCACGCGGTCACTCATTAACGTTAAACCGGAACACCGGCGCATCTGGTTGCAGGTTGTTTGTTTTAACTCAAAGTAGAATGAGGATGATTTCGTGGTCAGAATAACTTTGATGACCACGAAACATGAGGCCCAGATACTGATGAGATGATGAGGTCAAAGAGCTTCAGGGAGAGGAGGCTGTTTGTGTAGCGCAGCTTGATGCAGGGCTGAGATGTGAGTGGAGCTGGGCCTGGATAAAGGTGGAGCTGGGCCTGGATAAAGGTGGAGCTGGGCCTGGATAAAGGTGGAGGTCTAAACAGACGTGAGTACAGCTTCCTGCTGTCACAGTGTTTTAAATACATTGATAAAGCAGGGTATGCTAAATGCAGCCTCTGCTCTAAGGAGATGAACTACAGCAACAAGGGCTCACGTGCCCTCTCATCACACTGTTCACTGTGATGACCACAGCCAGTGTACCAACAGTCCCACGTTGCTCTCAAGAACCCTGAAGTAATGAGAGGGTTAAGGTGCCTGTACCTTCATTTCAGCGGGTTGCTAATGCAGAGGTGTGTATAGATCACAGCTATTATTTTACTCTTGATAAACTACCATAGCCAGAGTAGATTATCATTTCCATTTAAATAATTGAACTGGATTGAATGCATATTAATTGCAAATAGAAGACAGGCCACAATTCTAACAGCTGTACAGTAACAGTGGAAGTTAATATGAAGCCATACAGTAACAGGGTTCAATGAAAAATTTTCACTACAAAAGGGAAAGCAATATGTGCACTTGCTGGATGCTGCTACCTACTAAAGCTCTTATTGATGTGTCAGTGTCAACCAGAGTATATTTATAAATGTTTATTCTTTTAATCAAACTATTGTCTCTCATTCGTTTGTGTCATTTAAGGTATACTGTATGCTTTGGAATTCTCATTGTTAGTTTAAATACTACATTTTCTCACTTTTTCATGTATACACCGAGATTTCACAAAATGTTTGGTCATGGAATTTTGGTTTAAAGTCATGGAAAAGTCATGGAAATCCATTGGTCAAAATGTGTATGAATCCTGTACTTGGCCGCATTCATCTTTCCTTCAATTGCAACCAGTCGTCCTGTCCCTGCAGCTGAAAAACACCCCATAGCATGATGCTGCCACCACCATGTTTCACTGTTGGGATTGTATTGGGCAGGTGATGAGCAGTGCCTGGTTTTCTCCACACATACCACTTAGAATTAACGCCAAAAAGTTCAATCTTGGTCTCATCAGACCAGAGAATCTTATTTCTCATAGTCTGGGAGTCCATGTGTTTTTTGGCAAACTCTATGCGGGCTTTCATATGTCTTGCACTGAGGAGAGGCTTCCGTCGGGCCACTCTGCCATAAAGCCCCGACTGGTGGAGGGCTGCAGTGATAGTTGACTTTGTGGAACTTTCTCCCATCTCCCTACTGCATCTCTGGAGCTCAGCCACAGTGATCTTTGGGTTCTTCTTTACCTCTCTCACCAAGGCTCTTCTTCCACGATTGCTCAGTTTGGCTGGACGGCCAGGTCTAGGAAGAGTTCTGGTCGTCCCAAACTTGTTCCATTTAAGGATTATGGAGGCCACTGTGCTCTTAGGAACCTTGAGTGCTGCAGAAATTCTTTTGTAACCTTGGCCAGACCTGTGCCTTGCCACAATTCTGTCTCTGAGCTCCTTGGGCAGTTCCTTCAACCTCATGATTCTCATTTGCTCTGACATGCACTGTGAGCTGTAAGGTCTTATATAGACAGGTGTGTGCCTTTCCTAATCAAGTCCAATCAGTTTAATTAAACACAGCTGGACTCAATGAAGGAGTAGAACCATCTCAAGGAGGATCAGAAGAAATGAACAGCATGTGAGTTAAATATGAGTGTCACAGCAAAGGGTCTGAATACTTATGACCATGTGATATTTCAGTTTTTCTTTTTTAATAAATTTGCAAAAATTTCTACATTTCTATTTTTTTTCTGTCAAGATGGGGTGCTGAGTGTACATTAATGAGAAATAAAATGAACTTTTTGATTTTAGCAAATGGCTGCAATGAAACAAAGAGTGAAAAATTTAAAGGGGTCTGAATACTTTCCGTACCCACTGTATATATATATATAATTTTCCCTGAATATCAACGGAAGTGACGAGTGCAAAGTTGGCATGATGCATACAGTCACAATGGTCAAATTTTTGGGAAATATGGCACGTTGAAATAAACTGGAATTTTGCTGAATGGCAACTCAGTTATGGTAATCATGGGGCGGGGGGGGCAAGTGCTGCTGTTTCACTTCCTCCAGCTTCTTACTTCTCATAACATACTAACATTAAACGTCATAACGTTACAGATGTAATCAGGACACAATCAAAACTAATAAAAATGAACTTCAGTGAATTTGAGTTCTGTCAGACTGCATTGACTCCAACCTTATTTTTTATGGATTTTTGTTATTGATGATTCAACAGGCTGAGTAACTGTAAGCTGACATCAGAGAGTATTGAAGCTCTGTCTTCAGTTCTCAGTTGCCCGTCCTCCAGTCTTAAAGATCTGGACCTCACTAACAACAACTTGAAGGACAAAGTGAAGCCGCTCTCTGTGGGATTGGAGAGTCCACACTGTAGACTTGAAACTCTCAGGTCAGCTTTCTGTTTAACCAGACCTACATCTGTTTGATGGCTGTCATTTAGAGAGTGACTTAATATTTGCTGAAAATCTTGTTTTTGCTAATCCACACTCTAGACCTAGATTATGTCTGGTAAATAGAAAGGTGATGTTTGTCTTTATCACTTATTCTATTTCTAGTTTGATTGGCTGTGCGCTGACGTGGAATAGCTGTGATGATGTGGGCTTATTCCTTAGCTCCAAGTCTTCTGGTCTGAGACAGCTGGACCTGAGTATGAACGACCTGCAGGATTCAGGAGTGCTGGTATTCAGTACCGGACTGAAGAATCCCCGCTGTAAACTGGAAACTCTCAGGTCAGCTGGTTTCTGGACTGTCACATCAGCCCGCTATAACCATTTTGTGCACGAATGAGATGACAATTTGTAAGTCATTTTGCAATAAAATGCCGATCTTGCTTTTTGCGTGTCATTTGTAAGCCATGTAGTGTGGACTGACTACAATGTAAGTAAATGCATCGGCGTGAATATGCTACGCCCTGAACAAGTGATGAAGTTTAAAATGTGGGAGAGATCGATTATGGTGGGCGGCAGAAGATCGTTGCTCAAGACCGGTGTGCTTATTTTAAACCCAACCATAAACCTAACCTTAACGAAGGGGGTTTGTTGCAGAGATGCACATCAATGTCTCAAACCTATGAAGAAGTCAAACAAGCTTGAAGGTTGATCCAACACCCTACCAGGAAGTTTTCTCTGTTTCTTCTTTCACAGCACAAATCAGCAACAGTACAAGAGAGCGTCTAGCAGAGCCGACAGAAAGATCAACTCCTCTTCACTTCATATTGTTTCCCATTTTGACTGGCACTACAGTGACTCACTATCTAATTGTAATTCATTGTCCAGAAAGGCATTGTAACCAATGGGAAATTATAGGATTTGGTCTGTAATAGATGTGGTGGAAATGAAAGTATTTCCTTGAGAGAAATCAAAAATATCTCAAGCTTTCTGTCTTTTAAGTATTTATTACAGGATAAAGATATAGAAAAATTATAAAAAGCATACAAACAAATAAAACAAAATCAAACAGATCTAACAAGCCCAAACAGCTAAAATGTGCACTAACAGATTAAACAGAATAAAACAAAGTCATAGGTTGCTAATCAGCTGAACAGCATTGAGAGCGTCTCTTCACCCTGGAGGATCAAGGGAGACTCTGACTTCTCCACAAAGAAGCGTCTCATTTAAGCACGTCTGAGGGACGTATTTTCACCGCAGCAGGAAGCTGCATGCACCAATTTAACATTTTTTTATTTTTGTTTTACAATTTTCTATTCTTCTTCAGGCTAAGGGCTTGTAACCTGTCTGAAAAGAGCTGTGAAACTTTGGCCTCAGTTCTCAACGTCCAGATGTCCGTCTTGAAAGAGCTGGACTTAAGTCATAACAACTTGAAGGATTCAGGAGTGAAGTTTCTTTCTGCTGGACTGGAGAGTCCACACTGTAACCTGGGAACTCTCAGGTCAGCTCAGTGAAATATTTGTTATCTCTAGAGACGTTGATATATATTTAGAAAAATTTAAGATAATGTATTACAAACAATTATTTTCCGGGCATGAGTTTTTTAGTTGTAGACTCACAAACGAGTATTCTTTGTCATCATCACTAATTATATCCAGGTTGAGTGAGTGTAAGATGTCAGAGAGAAGCTGTGAAGCTCTGGCCTCAGCTCTCAGCTCACAGACCTCTAGTTTGAAAGAGCTGGACCTGAATAGCAACGACCTGCAGGATTCAGGAGTGAAGCTTCTTTCTGCTGGACTTGAGACTCCTCAATGTAGACTGGAAACTCTCAGGTTAGATTTAAAGGCTCTCACACTAAACATTTTCTCTCACATGACCAGATTGTTAACCTGTGTGTGATCTACGAGTCCAGATCAGTTGTATTAATGGTTGTTGTTACTGCGTCCTGATTCCTTGAATCTTCACAGTCAAAACAACAAGTAATTGAGTATTGATTCATGTTTACAGTCTGTCAGGCTGTCAGGTCACAGAGGAAGGCTGTGCTTCTCTGGTCTCAGCTCTGAGCTCCAACCCCTCCCATCTGAGAGAGCTGGACCTGAGCTACAACCATCCAGGAGACGCAGGAGTGAAGCTCCTCTCTGCTGGACTGGACGATCCACAGTGGGGGCTGGAGACTCTAAAGTATGGCTCATAGAGGGCTGTGAGCTCTGTAGAACCAGTGTTTGGTTTGTCTATTCTGGGCTATTGTAGAAACATGGCATTATACCATGCCAGATATCATAAAGAGGATCTGCTCCCAAGAAAACTAAGAAAACATAACAACAAAAACATTTTAGAACAAGAATTTTAGTCTCTGCTTTTTCCATTTTGTGAAAAGTTATGCTTTCAGTTTTTTTAAATGTTGCCTTTTACACCTGAGGGCCATCATAGCTTATGCGTTTCTTACTATGTTCATTGTTTCAGAGTGGACCATGGCGGAGTGCAGAGGTTAAAAGCTGGTCTGCAGAAGTGTAAGTATTTTTTTATTTGATAAACAAGAAGGCAATCCAGGCACTCCAAAATATCCTGATGAAGACCTGCAGTGATTTAATCATGTTGGTCTTTTCAGTGATTCAGCCACTACAATAAAGGCTTCCACACAAAATCATGAAAACATACAGGTTCACCAGAAACTCCTTCAGCTCAGACTCCAGCGGGTCCTCTGGCAGCGACCAGTCCACCGTGGACAGACCCAGGCTGTATTGCTGGACCCGCTGGAGGGAAGGGAGGCATGGAAGAACCAGGGGCAGACTGTCAGACCCTGCTGCAGTAAAATGAGAGGAGTTCTAAAGGGACTCTGGTTGTCATAAACACTACTGCTTCTGTCCACAGGGACCGCCACAATTAGCAGAAGTTCCATGTCGTATCTTTATGTTTCCCTCCTCGGTATTACTTGTTCCTATATGTTGGAGTTTCTGGATTGCTTGCCTGTCCATCCTGTTTTTTCACCATTTTCCAAGAGCACACATTCCTGTTGAGGTCACCAGACTGACAACTTTACATTAGCCCAACTAACACATGGGCTAATTTAAGACCCACTGCAGTACTTTGCAGGACCCTGGCCTGCACACAGAGTAACAGAGGAATGAGTGTTGTAAAATGTTGCCGTTGTTTGCACTGTTAGCGCTGTTAGCTCAGCGGTCGTCATGTTGTGCACCATTAAGAGGCAATGGAAATAATCCCAATCCCATATATAGCACCTTTAAAATGGAGGGACCTTTAATCAACCCAGATGAGGGGCTACAACTAACTTTAAAATGGGGAGGCACATTAGGCAAGTGGCATAAGGTATTCACACAACAAAATTTAAATTGAATAAAATGTTTGAGAAACTACTATCAAAAGGCTCTTCAGTAAAAAACTGAAATAAAATGAAATAAAATATTACAAATATCAAGATCTTTGATGGTCAAGCTCAACTCCCCATCCACAATTTGTTTTTATAACAGAAATCAGAAATTGTGTTCATTAATAAAGTCTTATTTGCCTAATTTTTGCTGCTAAAAATCGTGGACATGCATGTAATCATGACATAGCGTGGCTAAAGTGGACATGGAAAACTCCGGGGGTGATGAGAGTCCTTGATGATTTGTTGTGAGCCTATACAACAGAAATAATGTACAATTTTAAAGCATTAAAATCTATGTTAATATCTGTTAATGCGGTACTATCAAGAATTGCTGACTATAGACCAGTTAACAGCAAATGTCCTCAACAATATTTGTGAGCATGTTGACAACGGAAGTGACGTTTGGCCCCAGCCATTCATCAGAATCAGAATCAGAACCGTTTATTTGCCAAGGTATGTTGCACATACAAGGAATTTGACATGACGGGTGGTGCATAACATTAACAATCAACACAGTGCAAAAAAAAGAAACATTAAAATGTGTAATAAAATATTAAATAAAGTGCACAAACACACAGATAGCAGGACTATAAACAAGTATAATGTAAGTGTATGTAAAAGTGTCAGGTGTATTTAAATAAAGAAACATAGAAGGGATGTGCAGGAGAGTGTACCAGAAAGAAATTGTCCTGGGGATGACAGAGTCAGTGGGGGTCCCGGGCTTTGTTGATTAGCCCAACTGAAGATAGGAAAAAACTGTTCATGTGGCGTGAGGTCTTGGCCCTGATGGACCGCAGTCTCCTGCTAGATGGAAGGGGCCTCGAACAGTTTATGTCCAGGGTGAGAGGGGTCAGCTACAATCTTTCTTTCTCACAGACAAGTTATCAAGCTTTAAACATTGAATGAAAACTGTTACAAGCATCAAAATGTCTGATTGTGTCATGTTCCATTATTCCATATTCCAACAGCATGCTCAAGTTTTACAGAATTCCAAAAGCATCACGACCGTTTCAGAGCAACAGGTGTTTCAGTTTAACTTGTGACCTTGTTAACTGGTGACAGCTGAATGCGTCCGTGGTTGCTCGTAGTACCTTACGTAAATGGTTGGCGTAGATAAAAAACACAGATGAATATGTATTTAAAATAGATTGAAGGCTTTTACGAGGACACCTACAGGTCCTGTTTGTGTTTACAACAGCTGCCATCACCACGGGCAGAGAGTCACCAGTTAACATGGTCACTCGTTAAACTGAAACACCAGCTGCGTACGTGTTGACCACCACTGGACTGATCAATAATGCTGGTGTTTGAAATGCCCATTATAAAACTCAATAAAATCTAAACTCTAAGTCTGTATCATGGTATTTGACGTTCTGTTCATGAACACAGATGACGTGGTTGGAAGTATCTAGTGACTTGTATCTCGTAATGTCTCAGTGGTGTAATGTTACACACTTGGTTTCTCCACCACCACATGTATATATCTGGCCCCTTAATATTTGGCCACTTACTAATGTATTCTACCCACTCACTAACAGCACACAGATCTGGAAGTCCGTCACCATTTGTCAAATTTCTGATCTTTAGTGATTAATACCTTTGCATAGCTTGGCAATTGTACTCCACTGTACTAAACATCATCATTGTTTACTACTATAAAAGGGTCTATAACAGTATGTTCTACTGCTTTGTGTCTCTCTATCAGATGCCTGTGAACTCATACTGGACTCAAACACAGCACACAGACAGCTAATCATGTCTGAGGACAACAGACAGGTGAAAAGTGTGGAGGAGAAACAGCCTCATCCGTATCATCCAGAGAGATTTCATGACTTACAACAGCTGCTGTGTACAACTGGGTTGACTGGTCGCTGTTACTGGGAAGTTGAGACTAAGGGACTGTGTTGCATGGCAGTGGCTTACCGAGGAATGAGAAGGAGAGGAAATGCTGATGACTGCAGGTTTGGAAGCAATGACAAGTCCTGGAGTCTGGGCTACGATAGATGGGGTTGCAATCTTTGGCACAATAACACACGAACAGGCTTACATACCCGTTTCAAAGAAACTACCAGAGCAGCAGTGTATCTGGACTGGCCTGCTGGCACTCTGTCCTTCTACATTATTTCCTCTGACACACTGACACACTTCTACACTTTCTACTCCAGATTCACTGAACCCCTCTACCCTGGGTTTGGTTGTGCACCGGCCTCCTCACTGTCTCTGTGTCAGATAGATGAGGGAACGTCTGCCAGACAGAATCCAGAGGTATAATATCCTTAAATGAGGAAATAATACAGAAAATAAAATACCAGAGTAAGGGTGAAGAATGTTTGCATGAACAGAAACTTAAAGGTGTGATATGCAGCATTTCACTGAAAAACAATGTATAGACTAATATAAAAAGAATCCCTCTCAATCATTCATGACCCACAGAAGTGTGTCACAAGACTTTTTCTCTTTTCTTCCTCTTTTGCTGTGTTCGGGGCGTCAGCAAAGTTATTTCACACGCTTGGGAGTGAGAACGTGATGCACAGAGTGGACAGGCCACAGTGACAGGGTGAAACGAGCGCTTCAGCTTCATGCATTCACAATCCGGCAACGCTGCACCAGTCGGCAGGGTTTTGCGGAATTGTGGGCGTGTTTATTTGTATCTTTATTACGGCTCTGTTACAGGAAACAAAGAGTAATACATGAGGCTGTTGTCAGTGAGATAATATTACAATGGATTACATGCATGCCTTGTTTCCTGTTAATCCTTTGTGCATGGGAAGCGATTTGATTTTTTTGGGGGGGTTATCATACCATTACAATAATACACCTTGACTTCTACACTGGCAAATGATAATTATATGGCTTTGTTTGATAATAAAAAAACAACTGGAAAAGTCTTCACCGGAATCGTGTTTTATTTGCAGAATTAAGGTGAATGAATTAGTTTCCAACAAATGATTGCAGCTTCGTCTGTTGCAACATAGAGTAGAAGTAGCATAATATAACTTTAGAAACTTGAAGGCACAATCCTGCAAACATGGATTTAGAACGTGCTATCACCCTAAACCCTTTAAGGTATCATTATTTTCAAAAAGATGAGAATATCTCCATTGTCTGGAGTGAGGGTAGACCTTTCTGTGGTGACTGGGATATTACTATTGGGCCCGTCTAACTTCCACTCTGATGCTTCTGTCAGCACCTGCTCAGGTGTGTGTCTGTGTGACTGTCACAGAGGGGGCGTGTCTGCAGCACCGGACTATGAATCTCCACTCCGCCGTGGTGAAAGTATTGCACCAATTAAAAAAAAGGAAGTAGTGAAACTGGTTTGTCTGCTTCAGAATCTGCTGCAGAGGTTGCTGCCTGGTCATTGCACCTTGCCCTGGGTTTATGAGGAGCTACTGTTAGATAAGGGATTAAACCTGACAAGTTGTGAGGGAGCTAAGAAATACCCGAAGCAAAACTGAAAATGTCCTTAATTTGTTTTAAACTATAAAAATGGGGATCCAAACAGTTTCAACTTTCTTTTAATTAGGTCACTGTCATGTGAGTATAGGTTTTGTTCAACTGTCTCTGTGTCAGATAGAGCTGGTGAACATAGTGGAGCATTTAGCAGCTAAAGAGCCAGATGTTTCCCTCAGGTGTTGGTCTGGCTGGCAGAGCTGAAAGGGAATGTGTGCCACAGCATTATGTGTCTGAAGTTTAGAGTGCATGGACATAGTTTTAGACACAAGAGAGGAACTTCCAACTTAATGCATCAACCCCATCAGGCCGTAGACAAAACAACATCATTGTATTTGAATCAGTGTATTGGTTTATTTTGTATGTCCTTCAGTAACACCTAGTGACAATTGTGAGTAGCTGCACTAAAGAGGAAGTGAGCAAATAGTAAATATTCAGAGTAACAGGAAGTGATGTTCAGAAAGTTCCTTTCTGCGTATGGACTCAGAGTGAGAATCTCAGCGTACAATCCTCTTAATCCTTTGCCTTAAAGTCCACAAAACTGGCTTCATCTGTAAGTCATCTACTATTTACAGTTATTTTAACATGTTTAGGTTCATATTTCTTTGGTTTGACTACAGTATTGTTGATGATGGTTAGTTTACTGTCAACTACATATGAATGTATTAGTGTTTAGTGGTTAAAGCATTGGTGCTTGTGTAAATGATATTTACTGTTGTATTTAATCTTTTATTACTTACATTGAAATACTTTTAAGCACCAGTCCACTTTCGTTTATGCCAGTAATCTACTGATGTACTCGAGATATTATTTAGTACTTACAAAGGGACTTACCTTTTGTATTTTTGTGCTCTTTTTCAGTTTTACAAATGACGTTTTCCTTCATTGAATTCTGCCAAACACAACATCCTGTCTGTTCCTTGGAGAATACGGTGCTGGAGAACATAATGTCAATCTGGCTGTTTAGCTGAAAAATACGTTTCCTGCAACAACGTGTGAGGACAGCACAATCATCACGTTTGGTTTAAAAAACAAAAAGCAGAAACTTCATGATGCTTATGCAATACCCATTGTTTTTCTCTTCTCTTTACCCTGGCTTGTTATAACACCACACAGATTCAAGCCCTCCATCTAGAGAAGAAAGAGCTTCAATCAAGACCTCTGTCTGGAGAGAAAAGGTACTGATGTCTCCCTCACTGCTTTCACAGAATAACCTCTAAAAAGATGGAGTCAGTGCCACATCTCCAGCACAAATTTCCTGCTCTAGAGTATTTTATTTAGCTGTTTCTGCATTATAACCATTCAAGACCAGTGTAAGGCTACAAAAAGGAAGCATTAGGCAACAACTGAACTTTTATATTTGACTGGTGTCCATTGCCAGTGCAGTGATAAAATGTGTGTTTTGGGTTAAAGTTGTTGCAAAGTTTAGGAACTGTGTTGAGGTATCCCTAAAATATCCGAGACACACCTCACCCATAAACTCTCTAATTTTAACTAATTGTTTTATCAAATTGTCAGAGTCAGCATATGAAACAGACGATAAGTGCAGACTTTACAAAAATTATACATGTTCAGGAAAACAAGGCCGGACAGGAACTTAAGAAATTAGTGTTAACTTAAAGAAGCATATTATAATTTTAAGACTACGTAAACAGCTTTATGCAATGATTTGGCAATGTTTAGTTGTCATCTATGGACCAGGAGGTTATAGATGCTGGAGGTAACAAGGTATAAAGAAGAGACTAGAGAGGTCCAGGGTTGTGTCCTAGGCTTAGACTGCGTCTTGAGGTCTCTCAGACATAGATTTAACATTAGACTTTTTTGACTTTTACGGTCTTTTTGTCTTTTCTTTTATCAACTTTTTAACGAATAAACCTCTCCCAGAAACTTCTCTAATGACCTCAGAGAAGTTATTTCACATGGCGTTCTCTAAGAAGAGAAATGTGGACAGCGAGACCAGAGAGACCAGAGTCTTTAACCTAGAATGGACAGACTCGTATATCTTCATTCTCCCCACAGAAAGTTGAAAACCAGTCTCGTATGTTCAGAGACCGTGGCGATTATTAGAAGCGGTAATGTGAAGCGCCACTACGAGAGAAAGCACAGATCCTTTGAGCAAACATACCCACTCAAATCCGAAATGAAGGTACAAAAAATAACCCAATACGATCAGAATCCTAACACAGTAATTCACTGTCCAACAATGATGTTAACAGAGAGGAACAGAGCTGAAACAAGTGCTTTAATAACTACAGATAGAGTCCCTGCATGCACATTTCTCTTTTTAGAAGATGAAAATAATATGGATATCGCACATTTTTTGACTGACCACTTCACACCTGAATGAACTGAATTTAAAGCTGCAGGGCAAAGACGATTCACTTCAATACATTTTTCTAAAATTAAGTACTTTATTTTCAGAGTCACATTTTTCAAAAGCTTACTAATGTGTATTTTATTTTTTAATTCAGCTTACATTTGACTTGAACATTTATTTATTATTAGAGTATATATTATTTATAATGAATCCAGTTCAATATGAAATCTGACAATGAATATTGTTTAGATATTATTCAATTGAACTTTCTTTATTTGATTTGACAGTCAGATGTTGATGACATACAGACGTCAATACAACTGTTAGGCTACTTCAATATATATGGGACTAAATCACAGCGCAACTTAAGATATTATTTGGTGTTTTCCGGACTTTTGGATGAGGAAATTCTCTCTAACTGGACCTCGCTGAACTTTAATTGAATACCCCTGCTCTAAACTAAAACTACACACTATTCCTTTAAGGGGTCGTAACCAACCCCTCGGTAACTTTGTTAATTAGGTCAGGGTCATTTTTGCTCAGGTTTTGTTCGAATCGGGGTGCACCTTTAAAGCAGCTATAAACAATAATTTTTACCATAATAATGTATAGAAGGCAACAACTGAACTAAGTTTTGTATTTGACTAAAAGGGCAGAATCTTTTTGTTTTTATTATCTTAGAACTCCAGAATGCTATAACAAAACAATGGACAGATGATGCAGCTGAGCCACTCGGCTGGGCCCCTCTTGCTGCTAGTGTCTATTGCACCAGCTGATGTTTGCCTGTAATTGATGTAAGAACCCTATTTTCTTCTTTCTGAAACTGTTGCACAACGTCGGTCTGCAAGTTATTTTGAGGCTGTCACAGTGACGAGCGGCTTTGTAGATAAACTTGACTCTCTCTCTCTCTCTCTCTCTAGTCTACTTCCAATCAGTGTGGCAGCAGGTTATCTTTAACATGGAAAGGTAATGTGCACAACATTTTACAGTTAATTGCATTCTATTAAAACTAATTCAACACTGCGGTTTCTTTTATTGAAACATATTTAGGGCAGATTTACAGTTCTAGATCGGATAATGTGGGTAACAGTCAGCATGTAGATGTATGATGACCCCCTCACAACAATGAAATGGTTTGATAGTTAATATTAGACATTGACTTATATGTGAATACTTAAAGGGGACATATCATGAAATCATTTTTTTTTTCAGTCTTTACATTTGGATATCTGGGGTGGGGGGTTGGGTCTGAGAGAGACAGGCTCTAAAGTGGAGTGTTTCAGAGAGAGAATATAGGTATGTTCAGACAGACGGTGTGAGAAGAATGATGTGTTTTTTGAACATTAAATCTTTTAAACATGTTGAAGTAGAAACCCAGCATACAAGTATGAACCTAAAATACGAGTTGATATGTCCCCTTTAAGTTGTTTTATGGTCCTGTTTGTAGCTGTTTTGATGCTTTCGGTGTTTGATCCACTCCAACCTTTTGTTATTCCAAGCTGATTACAGCTGCCATCCACCACAAAGGAGCAAGCTACTAACCTGTCAGAGCCACCATTCAAGCCTGCAGGCGGTCAGTATTCAATACTCAAAGGTCCACTCAGTCAATAATCCAATAATGAAGTATTATAGCTTTAGGTCAGGCTCGAAAATATATCAAGAGGATATTTATTACAAAAATATAATTGGTTTAACCAACTATACAATTGCCATAATTACAAAGTATTTTGCATACAACATGAAGGGGAACTTCAGTCTACTTTTGTTCTGTGGTTTTATGAAAGACAATACAAAGTTGCACTATAGGAAACGTGTCATCCAGTGTTTTCGCCCATGCTAGAGACTAAAAGTTAGAACATGCTCTGATCTGAGCATGTGATCTTTCTCTTTTGAGAATCCCAATGTTATGGAAGTAAAGCACTAAATCACTAGACTACCCCTTTAACAAATACACACATCTTGAGTAAATGTAGTTCATAGTTTAGTTTATATTATGTAATGTTTATTACATTAAGTGTTCCCTTGTGTGCCAAACTTGTGTATAACTAACACATTCAACTGTTTAACACTACATAACATGTTTCAGTTTTTAATGGATGTTAATAAATGCACCCTTATTGTAAATTGTTACCAATGTGTAATCATGGAAATAGAATAAGAGTAGATCAGACATTCCCATTCTAATCAACGTAGCAGGATGGTTAGAGTGGCGGCCCTTTTAATGTGTACTGTTGCAATCGCAACAGTTTTAGCGAGCTTCCGTATGAACTAAGCCGACTTGTGACAAGTTGCCGACTAACTGAGGTGAGGTTTTGCAGTAACGACTAAAACAAGCAGGGAATTAGTAACTTTTAACAACTTAATGCTTCATCCACACACTTGTTACAGTGTAGGAAAGTACATTGCAATCACCATATGATCCTTAAAAAATGGTGGCATTAGCAAGCCAGCTAGCTAGCAGATAGCTGGCTAGTTAATTAGCTTGCTCATTCCACCATGCTTTATTGCTACACTGGTTCCAGAAAATGACCCAAAGAGCGGGCTGGTGGCCAGTGGCAGCGCTGGGTCTAATGCTGTAACATTGGCCCTTTTCTGTGAAGTCAAAAGACAATAGAAACAATGCCTGTTTTAATCCAATTCTATTTCTATGGGTAATGGTATTTCAGCAAGAAGAAACCATGGCAAGACCTGTAGAGCTGCTGGCAACATTGAAGGATTTGGCAGATGAAGAGTTCAAAGAGTTCAAATGGTACCTACAGCAGGCCGAGGTCTTGGGAGGCTTCTCACCAATCCCAAGGAGCCAATTAGAAAAAGCGGACAGGATGGACACAGTGGACGAGATCATAGAGACCTACGAACAAAATGCAGTGGAGGTGACAATTAAGGTTTTGAAGTTAATCAATAAGAATGACTTGGTGCAGCGATTATCAAACATCAGCTCAACATCCAAAGGTAAGTAAAACAATAAAGGGCGAAAAAAGGAAAATAAATGAATGCATAAAAATATAGAAACAGAGTTAAATCTGTGACTGCAGTGTGATGAATGACACCTGTGACCATGGCTAAGATGTGCTAACCCACTTTTAGGACCAACTTTTGGGAATGCCATCTGCCTCCAGTCAATACACATGGCCCAACTATTGCATAGCTAGAAGGAGAATGAATATTGGACTTAGCCAGATGATAACAAACCCATGAATGGATGTTATAGTTGATCAATAACTGCTCAGTGTATAAATGAGCAACTGTTTGCAAACAGATTCACAGTATCAACGCAAAAGGTGAATATACTGTTCATCAGTGTTGTGTTCACAGCTAGTTTGCACCGCCCCCAAGTGGCCAAAAATATCTGTTAATATAGGGTTAAAGGATTAAATTGGTTGCGTGACAGTCTGCTATCAGAAATTACAAATGAGTCTTTCAGACTACATTTATCACCATGCCTTTTGGCTTTTGTCAGTTGCCATACATTTTGGAAATGTCTTAACTCATGTAAATGCTTGTAGATAGGAATAAAGGTGCAGATAAATGTCTTTGAGTTGAGATGAGGCCCTCTCCGTTAAAGATGTTGGGTCACAGGGGCGCCGAAAGAAGAGGCCCAAGGGGCCATTGGCCCTCCCACCTAAAGCCCCTGCCCCGTGCGAACGAAAGGAGATGAAGAAAACAACTTGTAAAATGCCACACCATGCTTTGTTGCTCACAGTACTATCTTGTGAAAATGGCCAAGGCCACCCTCACTTCAGAAATGAATCCGGCATCGCTGGTCAGGATTAGGCATTTTACCGGGAAAAGGGGAGACAGGTGCTGGAGTGGTTACGTCCGCCGATGATGTCGGGTGTCTGTTGGGATTATTAGAGCCGGGGATAGGTGTAATGGGCACGTGTCACCAGCACTTTTCTTGATAAAAAAAACAGTCAGTAGATGTCTTCATTTTGAATTACTCATTTATTTATTAAGGTTGTGATGGCACTTGAGGAGGAGTACAGGTTGCAGTCTCACTCAATTACACACAGAGAGAGACCTGCTAAATGTCAGGCCCACCGGTGTGACCAATGAAAACGTTTAGTCACATTTACAGATTTTTGGTTGCATTTGCCTCGATCTGGAGTCCTGGTTTATGTCTATCTGGAAATGTTAGCATTGCTACAATAAAAATAGCACATTGTAATCAATATAATCTCTTCCACATTCCTTCAGAGACTCTCATTGATTGCCAGCGTAAAGTCAAATCCAACCTGGGGAAGAAGTTTCAGCATTTGTTTGAGCAAGCCACAAAATCTGGAAAGCAGATTTTGATGAATGAGATCTACACTGACCTCTACATCACTGGGAAAAAGTCTGGGAAGGTCGACACGGAACAAGAGGTCAGGCAAACTGCAACAGTATCCAGAAAAACAGCTGATTTGGAACCAACTATCAACATAGAAGACCTCTTTGAATGCTTATCTGGTCAAAATGGATCAGTTAGAACATTACTGACAAAAGGAGCAGCAGGCATTGGGAAAACAGTCTTGACACGGAAGTTTTCCCTGGATTGGTCCGAAGACAAAGTCAACAACAATATCCAGTTTATATTTCCATTCACTTTCCGAGAGTTGAATTTGCTTGAGGAGAAAAAATACAGCTGGGTGGAGCTTCTTCATCACTTCTTTGCTGAGACCAAAGAAGCAGGAATATGTGGTTTTGATAAACTCCAGCTTGTGTTCATCCTTGATGGTCTGGATGAGTGTCGACTTCCTTTGGACTTCCACAACAACGAGATCCTGACTGATGTTACCGACTCGGCTTCAGTGGACGTGCTGCTGACAAACCTCATCATGGGGAAACTGTTCCCTTCTTCCTGCCTCTGGCTGACCACAACACACGAGGCAGCCAGTCAAATCCCTCCAGGGTTCATTGACATGGTGACGGAGGTGAGAGGGTTCACTGATCCAAAGAAGGACGAGTACTTCCGAAGGAGATTCAGGAATAAAGAGCTGGCCAGCAGAATCATCACCCACATCAAGGCATCACGAAGCCTCCACATCATTTGCCACATCCCAATCCTCTGTTGGATCACTGCGACAGTTCTGGAGGATTTGTTGAAAACCACAGAAAGAGGAGAGCTGCCCAAGACCTTGACTGAGATGTATATCCATTTTCTTTTAGATCAGTCCAAACTGGCAAATGTCAAATATCATGAAGGAGCTGAGAGAGAATCACTCTGGAACACAGAGACCAGTAAGATGATTGTGTCTCTGGGAAAGCTGGCTTTTGAACAGCTGCAGAAAGGCAACCTGATCTTCTATGAAGCAGATCTTAAAGAGTGTGGCATTGACATTAAAGCTGCTTCTGTGTACTCAAGCGTGCTCACACAGATCTTTAAGGAGGACCGTGGGCTGAACCAGGACAAACGATTCTGCTTCGTCCACTTGAGCTTTCAGGAGTTTCTGGCTGCCCTTCATGTCATTGTGTCCTTCGTCAACTCTGGTGTCAACGTCTTGTCAGAAGAACAATCAACCTCCCCACAGTCTGCTCTCATCACTGGGCACTCTTCAGTCAATCAGCTCTTCCAGAGTGCAGTCAACAAGGCTTTACAGAGTCCAAATGGACACCTGGACTTGTTCCTCTGCTTCCTCGTTGGCCTCTCACTGCAGACCAATCAAGCACTTCTTCAAGGCCTATTGAATCAATCAGGAAGTAGCTTACAGAGCAATCAGGACACAGTCCAGTACGTCAAGGAGATGATCAGGAAGAATCCCTCTCCAGAGCAACGCATCAACCTGTTTCACTGTCTGAATGAGCTGCGTGATCATTCTCTGTTGGAGGAAATCCAACAGTACCTCAGTTCAGAATGTCTGTCCACAGACAAACTGTCTCCTGCTCAGTGGTCGGCTCTAGTCTTCATCTTACTGTCATCAGAGAGCAAGTTAGATGTGTTTGACCTGAAGAAATTCTCTGGTTCAGAGGAAAGTCTTCTGAGGTTGCTTCCAGTGCTTCAAGCCTCCAGTCTATCTCTGTAGGTGCACAACTTACTTGACATATTTGATATTGTAAATGTTACATTTTTATGTTCTTGTTTATTCTTTCTGACTGTGACATCCACAGGTTGAGTGGCTGTAAGCTGTCTCAGAGAGTCTGCGATGCTCTGGCCTCAGCTCTCAGCTCCCCGACCTCTAATGTGAGAGAGCTGGACCTGAGCTACAACAATGTGACAAATTCTGGAATCCAAGAGCTCACGGGTGGCTTGAAGGAATGTAGACTGGAAACTCTCAGGTCTGCTTGCTTTACTTAAGGCTGTTTTTAACATCAGTTTTACGATATCTGTGTGGCTTTATAGCAAGGTCAGTGGTCAGTCCACCACTTTAATCTAGGTATAAATATATGAAACATCTTATTTGGTAGAGACATTTATGGTTCCCAGATGATCGATGCTAAAGAGATTGGTAATCTTTTTCTCTAGTTTCTTTTGGTTAATATTTAACAATCTCAACAACTATTGGATGGATTACCATGATATATGGTACAACCAGGGCATGTGAGCAGAGTGGACCGGTGAGAATTTCAGCTCATCATTCACGGAGCTGTTCGCCGTTTACAGATTTTCAATGTTCTGGAGTTATTGACATTTTTTGCATCATACAAGCTTGTGCAATACATGTGCAATACACACACATTCTTTGTCGAACTCAATAGGACTGCTTCAAACTCATAGTGTGTGCAGTACCGGAGTGAAATTGGAGCGGGAGATAAGGTGACGCTCAAGCTTTTATGAAAATCTACCCGGCACTACATCCAAAATCCTTCCACTCACACTTCACTCCGCTCACATGCTCGGGTACAGATGTTCATGGTCCAGACAGGATCAATTGGAATTGTTGGTAATTTCTAAATTTTGCTCCAGCATTATCATTATCTTCAAAATTTCTATTTGTCCAAAACTTTGGATCATGCTAACTTTGCTCAATTGCAGAGATTTGAGGAAACGTATATTTGGGAAAACTATGCAAACCTTTTACAGCTTTCCAATTATCTTTTTTCTCTTTATATTAACAATTGTCTCAGAGTCTGACTGAAAAAAGACAACAAGAACGTAGCCTGGAATAGCCAGGACACCATGGTCGATCAGAGCTGCAAATTGATTTGTTTTAGTTAAATAGCTGGGATCTCTACCGTCTATACATCTAGATTTTCTAAGACTGGCATCAACGGGTGAAATGACGTGAAATGACGATTGTTCACATTGTAGTAATGATAATCTGCCTGTACGCTTTTTCAGTTACCAAGAAGAGAGTATAGCTGCACTGGCGTTGAAGGATGAATGTGTATGTTGATTAGGTGAGCTGGCAGCTGGTCCTGGATCTAGATCCCTTTACAGTTAGTCCTATTGGTCATCTAAGGTAACTATTTCCTGTGTCAAACTAGGGTCGTAATGATGAAGATTCAGGGGATTAAGAAATGAACAGGACACAAACAGAACTAATAGAAATAAACTTCAGTGAATTTGAGTTCTGTCAGACTGCATTGACTCAAACCTTATTTTTATGGATTTTTGTTATTGATGCTTCTACAGGCTGAGTAAGTGTGAGCTACAATCCATGAGTTGTGAAGCTCTGTCTTCAGTTCTCTGTTGCCCGTCATCCAGTCTTAAAGAGCTGGACCTCACAAACAACAACTTGAATGACGAAGGAGTGGAGCGGCTCTCTGTGGGATTGGAGAGTCCACACTGTAGACTTGAAACTCTCAGGTCAGCTTTCTGTTTAACCAGACCTACATCTGTTTGATGACTAGCTGAACTTCTTGTTTTTGCTAAATCAGACTCTAGACCTAGATTATGTCTGGTTAAATAGAAAGTTTAATTTGTCTTTATCACTTATTCTATTTTTAGGTTGATTAACTGCAAGCTGACGTGGCATAGCTGTGATTATGTGGGCTTATTCCTTAGCTCCAAGTCTTCTGGTCTGAGACAGCTGGACCTGAGTATGAACAACCTGAAGGATTCAGGAGTGCTGGTATTCAGGACCGGACTGAAGAATCCCCGCTGTAAACTGGAAACCCTCAGGTCAGCTGGTTTCTGTACTATCACATCAGCCCACTATAACCATTTTGTGCACGAATGAGACGACAATTTGTAAGTAATTTTGTGTGCAAAAGGAATGCCGTTTTTGCTCTCTAGGCATGGTGGTCTGTACTGACTGTACTGACAATGTAAACGCATCGGTGTGAATATGCTACACTCTGAACAAGTGACTAAAATGTGTGAGAGGTCCCAAAAGGTTACATTGGTGACATGTTTTCCCTTTGACATTGTTTCCATAAGCATATTTGACTAAGTTTATGTACTTATTTTAAGCCCAACCATGATATTCTTCCTAAACTCAACTAAGTGTATAACATAAATGTCTTTACAAACCTATGCAGAGGTCAAGCAAGCTGATTGGTTGATCCAACATCCTGTTGAACAAATCTGCAACAGTACAAGTGATCTTCTAGCAGAGCATCCAGATGAAGATTAACTCCTCTTCACAGCACTTCATATAGTGACACACTACGTAACTCATCATTCTGAAAGGCATTGCAACCAATGGGAAATTATAGGATTTGTCTCTAATAGACAGACATTCAGCAAGACAAAAGACAAAAGAGAAAGTCAAAGGCCTCTCAATGAGGAGAGTTGAAGAAGAGCCAAATACACGCGTCAGAACTTGCCTATCAATCATCCTATTTTTAAGTTTTCTCCAGTATTACAGTAATTTAGTGATAGTTGTCTTTACATCCATCATGGATGATCTATGTGTATGTTGCAAGCAGGAGCCGCCATTGGCTAATTCAGCATACATTTACCGGAATGGTGCCAAATTGTGTGAATGTAAAATAATATAGACTAAAGATGGGTCTCAAAAGAAAATGCCAGGACCTATATAGCTGACATTACAAGAGCTCAATAAATGAGCTTTAATGGGGTCTTGCTCCTCTGATGGCTTTGTCGTCATATTGGTTCCCCATTAGGCCGATATGTTGGTGTCAGCATGTTTCCATCTACCAGATTAGCAGAGCATCTTTGACTTCCCCCATTTTCACACCAAAGAAAATCTGTGGGATAAATCGTAAAATCACCCAGATACGCCCTTCTTCATACCAAATGCGGATTAAGTCCATCTTTATACACAGTGAATTCAGTACGCCAGGCCCTGGCCGTCATTTCTAGCTTTTAACCAAGATAATTTTTTTTAACGTTTGTTTAATAATTTTCTCTTCTTCTTCAGGCTAAGGGCTTGTAACCTGTCAGAAAATAGCTGTGAAACTTTGGCCTCAGTTCTCACCGTCCAGACCTCCATCTTGAAAGAGCTGGACTTAAGTCATAACAACTTGAAGGATTCAGGAGTGAAGCTTCTTTCTGCTGGACTGGAGAGTCCACACTGTAACCTGGAAACTCTCAGGTCAGCTCAGTTAAAATATTTATTATATTTAGAGACGGCTATATATATAAAACAATTAAATAATATATGAAACCATTGTTGGCTGAGTATTTTGTGTTGCAGACCCACAAGAGGATATTCTTTGTCATCATCACTAATTATATCCAGGTTGGGTCAGTGTAAGATGTCAGAGAGAAGCTGTGAAGCTCTGGCCTCAGCTCTCAGCTCACAGACCTCTAGTTTGAAAGAGCTGGACCTGAATAGCAACGACCTGCAGGATTCAGGAGTGAAGCTTCTTTCTGCTGGACTTGAGACTCCTCAATGTAGACTGGAAACTCTCAGGTTAGATTTAAAGGCTCTCACACTAAACATTTTCTCTCACATGACCAGATTGTTAACCTGTGTGTGATCTACGAGTCCAGATCAGTTGTATTAATGGTTGTTGTTACTGCGTCCTGATTCCTTGAATCTTCACAGTCAAAACAACAAGTAATTGAGTATTGATTCATGTTTACAGTCTGTCAGGCTGTCAGGTCACAGAGGAAGGCTGTGCTTCTCTGGTCTCAGCTCTGAGCTCCAACCCCTCCCATCTGAGAGAGCTGGACCTGAGCTACAACCATCCAGGAGACGCAGGAGTGAAGCTCCTCTCTGCTGGACTGGACGATCCACAGTGGGGGCTGGAGACTCTAAAGTATGGCTCATAGAGGGCTGAGAGAGTACCTCTCCTCGACAGGAGCATCCACATCTTAGAGGGACAGTGTTTTTGATTTAGCAGCATCTAGCGGTGAACTTAGCCCTCTCTTTTTAAGACGAGAACCTACAGGTACAAAACCGTGGTAATGGCGGTCATCTCGTTCAGTGGCCATCCTTTCCATATTAATGTTAGCAACGATGGTGTATGATAAGGAACAAATCAGTCCAACATGTCCTGGGTTTTCCTCATATCTTTAGTGAAGTCCCAACACTGAACCAGTGAAGCCCAAACTAACTTCTCCTCGCTCTACATCTTTCTCTCCTGTTTTAACCCTGTGACCTCCAGCTGCCTCCGCCGACTAGTGCCGATATCTTCAACCAGATCATCAAGTTAACGTTATTGTGGACACTAAATGTGTGAACAAGATGATAGACAGCAATTCAATAAGATAGTAAAGTAACATTTGCACATAAACAACCATGTTTAAAGCTGTGTTCACATAATTATGTTTACATCACACAATTTCACTCTTACAATAACACACAACGAAGTCAGACGGTGGCTGGTGTTACCATGGTTTCGCACTCTGCCACTCACATTACCGCGTAACAATGTGAAAGGCTTTCTCTAGAGCCAGCGTTTGATTTGTCCACTCTGGGCTACTGTAGAAACATGGCGGTGTAACTTAGAAAACATAACAACAAAAACATTTCAGAACAATAATTGTTTTCTCTACTTTTTTCTATTTTGTGAAATGTTATGCTTTCAGTTTTTTATTTATTTGGCGTTTTCCACCTGAGGGCCATCATAGCTTATGCGTTTCTTACTGTGTTCATTGTTTCAGAGTGGACCATGGCGGAGTGCAGAGGTTAAAAGCTGGTCTGCAGAAGTGTAAGTATTTTTTTATTTGATAAACAAGAAGGCAATCCAGGCACTCCAAAATATCCTGATGAAGACCTGCAGTGATTTAATCATGTTGGTCTTTTCAGTGATTCAGCCACTACAATAAAGGCTTCCACACAAAATCATGAAAACATACAGGTTCACCAGAAACTCCTTCAGCTCAGACTCCAGCGGGTCCTCTGGCAGCGACCAGTCCACCGTGGACAGACCCAGGCTGTATTGCTGGACCCGCTGGAGGGAAGGGAGGCATGGAAGAACCAGGGGCAGACTGTCAGACCCTGCTGCAGTAAAATGAGAGGAGTTCTAAAGGGACTCTGGTTGTCATAAACACTACTGCTTCTGTCCACAGGGACCGCCACAATTAGCAGAAGTTCCATGTCGTATCTTTATGTTTCCCTCCTCGGTATTACTTGTTCCTATATGTTGGAGTTTCTGGATTGCTTGCCTGTCCATCCTGTTTTTTCACCATTTTCCAAGAGCACACATTCCTGTTGAGGTCACCAGACTGACAACTTTACATTAGCCCAACTAACACATGGGCTAATTTAAGACCCACTTATGAAGGCAAATCACTGTCAAAATCCGAGAGCGCAAATGAAATTCACTCTTGCGCGAGCAAAATTCGCTCTCGCGAAACTTTAACCTGCTCACTTGCGAGTAGTTTTTATTTTTGACAGTAAGTGGGCGGACCCAGTCTCCATTGTATCTCTACATCTAATTGGTTACAATCCTCGTCTTTGGATAGACCGGATATCACTCTGATGCGCGAGGGGGAATTTTGCTCGCGGAGTGATGTAAAAGCACTCGTCAAAGTAAAATACGCATGCGGCTGTTTGATTTGCGCGCGCGTGGTTCTCATTTGCGCTCTCGGATTTTGACAGTGATTTGCCTTCATACCCACTGCAGTACTTTGCAGGACCCTGAATGAGTGTCGTAAAATGTTGCAATGTTTGCACTGTTAGCAATGCAGGGACTATTAATCAACCCAGACGAGGGGTTACAACTAACACACATTAGGCAAGTGACATAAAGTATTCACACAACAGTATTTAAATTGAAGAAAATGTTTGAAGAAAACTATCAAAAGGCTCTTCAGTAAAAAACAGGCAAAAGGCAAATAAATCATAACATGAAATACTGCATGGTCAAGCTCAACTCCCTGTCCACAATTTGTTTTTACAACAGAAATCCGATATTGTATTCATTAATAAAAGTCTTATTTGCTTTATTTTTGCTGCTAAAAATCGTGGAATTGCATTAAATCATGACATGGCTTGGCTAAAGTGGACAGAGCAGGACCCATGGAAAAACTCTATTTGGGGTGATGAGAGTCCTTTGAAAGTGACTGCTTAGTCCATGATGATTTGACGTGAGCCTATAAAACAGAAATAATGTACAATTTTAAAGCATTAAAATCTGTTAATATCTGTTAATACTGTTAATGTCAAGAATTGCTGACTTAACAGCAAATGTCATCAAAATATTTGTGAGCATGTTGGCAACAGAAGTGACGTTTGGCCCCAGCCATTCAGACAAGCTTGACAATTGTACTCCACTGTACTAAACATCATCATTGTTTACTACTATAAAATGTTGTATAACAGTATGTTCTACTGCTTTGTGTCTCTCTATCAGATGCCTGTGAACTCATACTGGACCCAAACACAGCACACAGACAGCTAATCCTGTCTGAGGACAACAGACAGGTGAAAAGTGTGGAGGAGAAACAGCCTCATCCGTATCATCCAGAGAGATTTCATGACTTGAGACAACTGCTGTGTACAACTGGGTTGACTGGTCGCTGTTACTGGGAAGTTGAGACTAAGGGACTGTGTTGCATGGCAGTGGCTTACCGAGGAATGAGAAGGAGAGGAAATGCTGATGACTGCTTGTTTGGAAGCAATGACAAGTCCTGGAGTCTGGGCTACGATGGGAGTTACCATCTTTGGCACAGATACATAGATTCGTGGTCCCCTTCCAACAACCTTGCCAGAGCAGCAGTGTATCTGGACTGGCCTGCTGGCACTCTGTCCTTCTACATGATCTCCTCTGACACACTGACACACTTCTACACTTTCTACTCCAGATTCACTGAACCCCTCTACCCTGGGTTTGGTTGTGCACCGACCTCCTCACTGTCTCTGTGTCAGATAGATGAGGGAACGTCTGCCAGACAGAATCCAGAGGTATAATATCCTTAAACAGAAAAATGAAATACCAGAGTAAGGGTGAAGAATGTTTGCATGAACAGAAACTTAAAGGTGTGATATGCAGCTGTTAGCAAATTCTACTCGACACCAAGTTTGAAATCAATAATCAGGAGATTTATTCTTGCAAGAAGGAGCAGAGTTGTATCGCATACAGTTATGCGTCAAGTTGCTGCTCAGAGATCTGTCTCTGAGTCTGTCTTTTATACACTGTGATAAACAGAGCTTCATAACAGGGTATGGTGAAGGTTTAAACCAGTTTGAACCGGTTCTTCCTTATATTCCTTTGAAACAAATGTCGATGGTTAGACTGAGTGCAGGTGTGTTATCTGTCTTCCAAGACATTCTGTGGATTGCAAGGTCACGGCTATATTGAAACAGTCTGATTCTAAGCATCATGGAAAAGTACCAGCATTATGCATATATCATTCTGTATTTTTCCAACATTTCCCTCCTATTTGTACTTGAGTAAAATGCATAATAATAAAGAAAATACATAATGAGTTTAATAAGGCAAAAAGTAAGCATTGGATGTGTGTTTTAAATGTAACTCCAAATACATGAAGCAAGATAAAAACATAGTTAAAATGTATGTATCTCAATGTCACACGGATTATTTCATAGCTGTAAAAATAATAAAAATGCTTCTAGCACATGCTGTGCACTGTCTTTGTCAGCTGCAGGTAATACTGCTTTCATCATTTTGTCACTTCTCACGATTTTCGACATAAGAATCATCCTTGCTTTACAGTCCAGTGTCGGCATTTTGTTCAAACAACGCCACGATTGCGTCATAGTAGTCAGGTCGGGACCTGGAGGGTCGTCTGTTTGGAGAATCTGTTGGTACACTAGAGACTGTTTAGTTAGTGCAGTGTCTATCAATCACTGTAGGAGGCCTCTCATACAAGGTACGAGACAACACCCACAAACAGCAAGGACAGCATCTGCCACAGCGATAGAAATAAACAGTGATATGGCCAAATTTTTCCACTTGCCGAACCATGACTCTAGCATTCTACCAAAAGGATCATCATCAATTCCAGCATTTCCTGCTAATTCTTCAGAAAGTGAAGTTTGTCCCTGTAAAGCTCTTGTAACTGAACCATCTGGTGCAGTATTGTTAGGTATGAAAGTGCAGCATGATGAACCGAACATTTTGCAAACCCCTCCCCTCTCCGCCAACAGCATGTCTAATGCCATTCTGTTCTGCCAGGTCATCAGACTTGTAGGGCCTAATTGACCATAACCCCTCTACTGCATCACTGGTGTAATTGATGGGGGTGGGGGGGGCTCTCGATTTTACAGAGAAAGTTTAACGTACAGCATGTTGTACAATGCACTTCTCAGAAATGAATATAATGAATGATACACACATGTTATATACAGTTAAAGAAAAGAGTCTGGGCAACAATATCATGTAAGCCATTTTTACACACTCCAAACACAATTCTACTGAACTAATATTTCATCTAGAAGATTTACCACAATATCATGTATTTTTCACCATGAGTCCGTGAGCTACGCACTCCGCTCCGAGCTACCAGCACAAAGCTAAAAGCTAACACGGACAACCAATATATCAGAAAGCAAGAGAATTCGACACAGATTCCAGAGATATCTTCAAAATTGTTCTGCTTCACTTTATCAAAGTCAAAATTTGCAGAGAGACAGTTCACATATTGTGCTATGATTTTGGAGACGTTTTAGACGTGCCACTGCATCATTCCAAAGAAATAATAACAATAAAAGTGCTTTTTTTTTCAGGTGAACCCGAAACTTTTCAATTTCAGCTGTGTGCCATCTTCATTTACTCTTAACCAGTAACATATACACTGATATTTAGACACCTGAACAAATCTCACAAGTGTTACCTTTATTATAACATCAGAATTATTCAAATATACCTTGTAGTTCCAGAAATACACTCTTTTTAGTATGGGTATGCAATTTTCGAACAGAGGCCTAAAAATAGGGCTAGGGCCCAAAAGGCTAATTAGGAAGTGTAGACAGGAGTCCCTTACCCACACAGAACCACCAGGTGTCAGCCCTGAGCGTTGTATGGTTGCTGAACCAAGACTTGTCATACCCATCAGTTGTCTGTGTGATGTTGTACGTGGTATTGCACCATTTCAAGGTCCCCACAGGAACTCCTTCTGAAACATGTCTGGTGAAACAAGTATAGTTTGCTGCATAGGGTGAGAAATAGGGTGGTATCTTGGGTTTAACAGGTGGCAACAAATAGTGTAGAGTGGTGCAATTGTTGTTAGGCGGCTGAGGAGAGGAAAACAATTGCAAGGCACATTTGAAACCTGTTGGATCATTGTCTGGTGTCAGGTGGAACAGAATGGTTCCCAGCTTTGGTCTCGATTGGGCACAAACTACAGTTAGATTCTGAGTGATAGGTGAGAGTGTGTTGGTGCTATTGTTTCTAGCAGCATCTTTCAGCTGTTGTGCTTCCCACCACAATATAGAACCTACTGTTATCGAAGCTGCTAAGGCTTGACAACACATAGTTCCCCTTATCCCACATAGCCCTGGCTGTCTAAATGGATGCCATGGTCTAGGTGGCGCCATTTTTGTTTAACCAGTTCTACTTACAGACTCGACACTGGGTCTCCTTCCACAGACACTCCCTAGGCCTCAGGGTGTTGATGGTTTCTTCACTGGTTTGAGACAAGTGTCCCTATTGCTTGCACTTCCCTTTGTAGCCAGACTGCACCACAGAGGAATTGGGTGTCTGCTTTAAGAGTTGTTAGTGGTGCAGTCTTCTGTAGACTGTGTTTGAGATGGATCCAAGATGATCTCTCTGCTATGCGGACAGTTTTTGGTGTGCTCAGGAGAACTTGGAAAGGTCCCTCCCGCTTTGGTGCATGCCTGGTCTTTCGCTTGATGACCTTGATGAGGACCCAGTCTCCTGGTTTCACTGTCTGGACTGGACTAGACTCGTCCTGAGTGGGGAGAACAACAGAAGAAGTAATCTCTTTTCTTTTCAACATTTTTGCCATATATTCTGCTGTATTTTCTCCCATATGTTCACTCTCGCGCGAGCAAAAGTGACTCGCGAAGCTCGCTCGCGAGTCTTTTACCTGCTCGCTCGCAAGTAGTTTTTCTTTTTGACATTAAGTGGGCGGACCCAGTCTCCATTGTATCTCTACATCTAATTGGTTACAATCCTCGTCTTTGGATCAACCGGATATCACTCGACTTGGATATCACTTGGTGGTAGTTCATTTCCATACAATGAAAGTTAAGTAAGCATTTGCTTCGTCCATCTCAGTAAATGTCATGGCTGCATTCATTTTTGTTAGTTCATTGTCAGGAGACACAAGACGCATCGCCAGAATCTTTCCATCTCTTTTTAAAGTGAATTATTCTGCTTTTACATTTAAATATGTAACATTTTCATCATCTCTATTTCACATGTGCATTAGCTTCAACTATTTTACTGTTTATATTCTGTCTCATTATCAGCTCGTCTGGGGCGACTGTGGCTAAGTGAGGAGCAGGGAGGTCCTTCAATCAGAAGATCAGTGGTTTGATCCCCAGCTCCGGCCCTGCTAGTCACATGTCGATGTGTCCTTGAGCAAGACACTTAACCCCAAAATATTGCTCCTGTAGCTGTGTATATGATAGAATCTGAATTGTAAGTCGCTTTGGATAAAAGCATCTGCTTAATGTCTGTCACCTGTTAACCTGTTTTTTGCACTTTGAACGGCACTAACCTGTATGAAAAGTGCTACACCAACACAGTTTGACTAACTTATTGACAACGACAGCATCTACACGTGTGCGTGTGTCAGATATTGCAGGAGAAACAGGATGTTGGAGCAAAGGTGGTAAAAGAAAAGGGCTGCAGCCAGGAAAAGAGTGGCTTCGTAAAGGGGGGACTAGTGTGCATCCTTAAATGACGTGGCCGAAGCAGAACTCACTGAAGGCCCAGGGTCTGTTCTCATGCAACCTCAGACTGGCAACCTGGACATGTGCTAATCTGATAAATAGATAGGCATACTGTATAGTGATTACCGAGGTCTGGGTGACATACAAAGTTTGTGTACGTGCCTGATCAAACTAAAGACAATGATGTGTCTGCCGGGGGGAAAAAAGGAAAAAGCTGCAGACTTAAAAAAGGGATGATTAATTACACATAAATAGGCGTATCTGACACCAGGCGCTGCAGGGACTCACCAACATCACCCAGACAAAATGTATAAAGAGGTGTGCATGTCTTTTATCAGGTCAGACATTAATGCAAATAAACCAATGCAGATTGAAGACTGTCCAATCTCATTTCTGGTCTACGAGTCCTCCTTACCGGGTTTCCTTTGTCATATGGCATCGCTGATCAATTTAACGAGAAAATATTGTGTGAAGAGTCCTGCACAAAAGAAGAACGTTTAGCAACCATTACAGCCAGCGTGGAGAGGAGGGATGATAGAAGGCAACCAGTAACTCAACCCACGTGTGATCAATACTACTACTAGTCAGTGGCGGGCCGTGCATTTTATACCTGGGCCTTCACTGCTGTCCTCATTATGACGCCACAGCTATGGTTATTATTTGTTTGGTGTAAAAATGAAGCTCAACACCTACAAATACATTAACTGCAGAGTGCAGATACATGAATACGCCGAGACTGCGTCTCCTCTCTGCTCTGACTGCAGCTGGGACTGCTGCACGAGGCTGCTGTGAGACTGACCGCCTGTGAGTGCTTTGGGGCTCACGGCAGCACCCGCTGCTCGTTCACGACAGTGCAGAACGGTACGTGCTTTCACGTCAGAGTCAAAACACCAGAAAAGTCTCCAACACCACCAGAAAAAGTCACTAGATTTGTCGCGAGTAGCTTTTGACAAAAAAAGTCGCCAAGAGGGCTCGGAAAGTTTCCAGATTTAGCAAGAAAGTTGGCAACACTGGCACAGACTAAATATGTCCCCAGAGCAACATCGGACATAACAATATTTCCTATCACATATTAAACCAAACAAAAATCCATCTTCATAAAAACAAGTTGTACAAATAATAATATATAAACAAGCATCTTAAAGCTACTGCAGATGTAAAAACAAACGCAGTTCACTTACCAGAGTTGCTGTTCACTATTTAAAGACAAAGTCCATCCTCCTTTCTTTGTTAATAAAGACTTTAATCTCACGGTTGTTCAGTACATCCGTGCGTTTTAGTTCCAGTAAGAAGTCCTTCTCGATTCATGGACGCCAGTGAAGACAGTCGAGCCTCCCCAGTTGTATTTCTTCAACACGTTTTAATGCGTTTGAAGGCTTAAAATGTCCCTTTACACAGTAGCAGTTAAAATAGTTATAATCAGTGGTGGCTGGTGGAAAATTTTCTAGGTAGGGCCATCCTATCAATTTCAGCAAACATCCCAGTATGATTTAATGCAAAAAAAATGAAAGTATCAAACACGCATTACTACTTTGCAGTTAAATATTTAACATTTATTCCAACACGAAAAAAAAGCAGTAAATAACACTTTGATAAACATGTCAGGACATCTTATTTTAGTCACACTCACAGGCAATTCAGTATAATATATATATGTATACAGTATATTATGTCATATAATAATCAGTATAATATAAAACACACATATAGATATATACACAGTATATATCTATATATGTCAAAAATAATAGAACGTGTATTTATTGAGATGCCCCTATGGACCTTGTTATAAGAGGTAAAGATCAGGAGAAGTAAACATGAAGTGTAATTATGAATACTGATGTTAAATTAAGCTATGATGAGTTTTCACTGTTAATTTACCATCTCAATTAAATGTTGATGCCTCCATGACCAAGTTAAGCAGATGAGACTGAGGACAGCTATGTAGAAGAAAAGATCTTCACTTTGCCTAATATGTAGCGTGACAGAGTTCTGAATGTGTGTCCTGGTGTTCTCATGTTTTGCAAGCTTTGCATGTACTGCTTCCCTTTCCCACTAGTCTGCTGTCTGATTGTGAGGTCAGGTTGATCTGGAATCAGCTCTTTGGCTTGCAGAATCTCCGCCAAAGTTCTCCTCTCAAACGGGTCTTGGAGTAGTGCTCGCACTCGCCTGTAGAGAACGCATTTGAATATGAAATTTGTCCTCTGCATTTAACCCATCCCTAGCTTATTGGGAGCAGGATGAGCTGATTGCCGGCAGGTGAGTGGAAATGAGTGGCGTTTGCAGAGGGAAAAACCAGGGCCAGGTGATTACACACACACACACACACACACACACACACACAGGATAATTGGAATCAAAGCTTTATTTTCCTCTGGACACACAACAGGTAACATTCTTCGATAAGCACAGATGGATAATCCCACACGGTGGACCGACAAGCCGTCAAGGGCAGGCAGACAGAATCCCAAGGAAACAGCGACAGGATCTCGTGGTCGGGGACAGAAGACTGAGTGAATTACCGTGGCAGAGGCAAGGTGGATAAGTCCAAACAGGCAGGGTCGGTAACGGGAAATCAGGCGGAGGGTATTGGCTGGAAGGCCTGGCATGAATGCAGAGAACGATCTGGCAGTGAGTGTGTGTGTGACTGGGGCCTAAATAGTGGGTGCAGCAGAGTGAGCAGGTGAGAGTGATGAGCTGATGAGATGGGTGTGACTAGCTGGTGCACTGAATAAGATGATTTGGTGAGTGAGAGATAGGTTTGCCAACTGCCAATAAAATGCAAATAAGAAGAAGGGAGAGATAGAAAAACAAGATAGTAGTGGCAGAACTGTGACACATCTATGTTGCGTGAGAAGGGATGAGTGGAACCCTGGTGAGAGCAAATGGTGAGCACTATTTCTTCCATGCAGTATTTGTGCTAAAAAGTTAAATACTTATAGCTGTTCCTGGCATTCTGTTTGTTTTATAATGGATGGATTACACATTAAGTTTTGTTTCTTAGTTACTGGTCATGAACATCCAGTACATCCTATCGTGTTAGCAGATTTTTTGTTTTTCCTCTAAATTACATCAATTTATCTTTTAACATTAGATTTAAATGAATAAGTTGCTTAAATGTGAGGATGAATTGTTTTTATGTAACTCTCTGGCTATTCATTATGAATGATTGCAATTTTCTTTTTGTAAAGTAGCTCTCCAGTGTTGTCAGCCCTGTTTGAATTTAGGACTACAATTATGTCTACACATAGAATATATGCTTCAATTTGGGATGTTATTCTATAATGAGTTGAAGAAGGATGTAGTAATCGTTGCGAATCATCTGTGGACATCCTGACGTATGTTTATATAACTCAAACATGCAACGCAGGATTCAACCTTAAAAATTTTAAATTTTGTTAAAACTACATCAAATGATTCTAGTTGGTCACACCTGTGCCCTCTGAAGTTAGCAAACAGATAATTATTGAGAATAGCAGCAGGATGTTTAGGGAGTGCTGTTTGTTCTGTGTTAAATGTCCGTGTGTGTGATGGCCCAATTCCAGTTCAGTCTTGCAGCAGTATTGCACGCAAATGTTGAATGAAAGATTTGATGAAATGTGGAGGACTGGGTGCTTCAATATGAGTCTAGGAATTATAAGATATATAAAAACATAAAAGTGTGCGTCTTTCGTTTCAGATGGCTGTGTTTAACAGAGCACTGTTTAAGATAGCTGCTGTTGTGAGCATCATCACCCTGGTCACATTCTATCTTATGATGTATCATAACTATCCTGGAGCGCTAACCCGAGAGGCTCCCACTACACAAAAACTGAGGTAAAGCCCACTCTGTGTCCATGTGTGTTTGCATGCTACCCCCTCTTTATCTACTTTTAACAATATTTGACATTTCCATTGAGTTGTAAATGGGCGATCTCAAGCAGCTCTGTGATAATTGAAAGCAGAGGTTTGTTGCTCAGTAAAAAACTAATTTATCCCGCATGCCACCCCGAAGAAATACAGGCCGACTTTGTGAGAGCAACAAATCCAAAATGGCTACCAATCAGCAATGTTGTAAATCATCTTTCCAAAATGTGTTGGCCTGCAATGCTGAACAGTACATGGTTTCACTGACGTTTTGGGTCGAGGAATTCATAATTGGTTTTGTTTTGACCTTCAGACCTGAGAAGGCTGACGAGTCTAAGCTCCAAAATATAAAGTTTTCAAACTTGTCATAGAGCCTTCATATTAATCTCTAACAAAAGCTATGCTCATGATCAGTTGAGTTATGAACACTAAAAGTACAAGAGACCATCTCAGAGGTAAGAAATGTCAACGTTTGTAATTGATAACAAGTAAACCTTCGTTCAATGAATTACTGGTAATGACTAATTTCTGAATAACTTGAATGACTTACTGCCACCTGCAAAAGTTCTCTGACGACTCTGCAATCGTCGGCCTCATTTCTGCCGGTGATGCCGGGGAATACAGGGAACTGAACCAGGACTTTATGGGATTGTGCCAGCGGTACCGCCTCCAGATCAACTTTGGTAAAACCAAAGAGCTGGTGGTGGACTTCCGCCGGGGTAAACACTCTCCTCCGGTACCAGTGAACATCCATGGAATGGACATTGAGATTGTGAGATCTTATAAGTACCTGGGTGTTCACTTGAACAATAAACTGGACTGGACTGACCATACACATGCACTTTACAAAAAGGGTCAGAGCAGACTCTCTGCTGATGAGACTGAGGTATTTTTGAGTGCAGGGAGCACTCCTGAGGACCTTCTTCGACCTAGAACTTTGTACAGAAGCAATTGATATACTTTTTGACAAAGAGTTGTGGATGAATAGAATCGCATCCACCGTTGATGGTTTTAGTGCCTTATTAAGTTACATTTCATAATGATGCAACCTGAGCATTCCCTGGATTTCTTTTAGAAACAAGAGGTAATTTCACTTGTTTTCAAAATGAATAAAAACTAGACGTTGTTTTACTTGTTTCTGTGCAATTGTCTCTTTTCAGGGCACTTCGTTAGTTGTCACTAACTGCGAAAGTTCCCTATGTAAACACCTGATATTCTTCATGGCTTAATTTAATGTAGTCTCAAACATTTCAAACCAACATCAAATAGAGTTGGTTGGACGTTCATGATTAAACAGCTGTTGTTTGACTATTGTGACATTCTTTTAACTGTCAGGTCATGGCGAGAGCAGACTGATTATGGAGTCTAGCAGCCTGGTGACCCTCAACTACCTGCTGGCTACAGTGTCCTACACCAGCACTGTCTACCATATACACACTGGAGACCTCGGTATGCGTCAGGGAAATTGGAGCGGAGCTACAAAATCAGAAATGAAATGCTCAAAATGATGTGCATAAGTCCTAATACAGCAAATGCAATGGGAAAAGAACAAGTGCAGTTCTCAATGTTTTGTACAGCTATCTGTGTGCATGAATGTGTGTTTAATGTAAAGTTACTGTGGAAAATGTTTGCATTTTGTTTGTTCTTAGATTCACCGGCAGCTTAGTTTGAGCCCACTTTGTTTTCTACAGTAAACTTTTCTGTACTTAGCATCCTTCCAGTTTGACAACCATGAAGCCGTGTTTCCCATTACCATCAAACAGCCTCTCCTTCCAGTCCTGTACGACGTGGGAACAGGTAGGTGTGCACTCGTCATGGTGGTCTGGGGATTTAAATTCAAGTTAGTGGGAGAAGGAGGGAGGAATAAATATATCTGAAGAAGAATGGACAGCAATATGGAAATTTCAATGAAAGAGTAGCGGCTCGCAGACATGGAGAGAAACCCTTCTGTTGCTGGAGAGGATGTGGAAACCAAAATGCAAACTATTACCATATTTTTTGGGATTGCCCTGTTATCAAAGACCATTGGAGCAGGATACACACTGCCCTACAGAACATGTTTAATGGTGAAATAGCCCTACAAAGTAAGACCAGGTATCTTAGATATTTACCTGAAAATGTGTCAAAAAGAGACAAATATTTAATAAATGTACTTCTGGTGGCCAATAAAAAGACTCCTAACAGGAAATAGTTGTCACAAGAGTCCAATCTGAATACATGGATGGACGTTACAATGGACAAGATAACAGCATCTGTCAACTACAAATTGTAAAAAATGGGATATATGTAACACCCCATAGACCTGACTTTAAGTTCATAGAGAATAGATCACTCCCTAGTGATGTAGTTTTTCTTTTTGTTCTTTGTATTTTTCTTAATGTGTATACCTCAAATGGGCATCATCTGAAGATCTGTATATACCATATACATTGTCTAAAAGACATCTGTAAATGTCTGATTGATGCCAACTATCAATGAAATGTAAATAAAAAGAATAAAGTTAGTATTCAATTATTTATGGCAGGAAAGTGCTGTTTCTCTACTCTGTGCTAGAACCGTATGATTTTCTTTTTGAGCATAAGAGCTGCCCTCTAGTATATTTACTAGTATTCAGTTTTCAAACTTAACCTACAAAAGATGCCGGAAGATGAAACTAACTGTCTTGCTTTTGGGTAAACTGCTGTGGACCAGTTTTTATTAAGTACTTGCATGTGTGCTATTATCAGTAACAGCTTGCATCATTTCCTGTAACGATGCAAGTTACTTATTCGTGATACAAACACTTTTGAATGAACTACTCAATTAACTTCATTTATAAAGCACATTTCTAGTTCAAACTGCTTGAAAGTAAGGAAACGGGCACTGTGACAAAGTAAATTGTCCTGTTTCTAAACCCAAATATAAGTCCCCTCAATTACGCTGAAAACCTGCTACAATAAATCGCCAACAGGTTCATGGTCAACTGTGCTGACGACTCATTGAGTTTTACCGTTTTCTCTTTTCTTTAACTTCTCTTCTCTGTCAGATATCAGCTCTCAAGTCACCGTCATCACCAAGACGTTCCTGCGCTACACACAACTCAAGGTGTTGCTGAGTAGCATCCGGCGTTTCTATAGCAAGATGGAAGTCGTCATCGCAGATGACAGCTTTGAACCGGAGAACATTACTGGAGAACACATCAGACATTACATCATGCCTCCAGCACAGGTACACACACACACACACACACACACACACATTTATTGTTGGTCATCACTTTTTTTAAATTTATTGTTGGTCATCACTTTTTTTCTCACATTTTTGTGAGGTTACACCGAAGAAGGTGATCTAAGCATCAATAAAACACTTGATTCATTTGCACATGATCTTCTGATGTATTCAACTATTGGTTTAAACTTTTGGCAGAATGACCTTTTATGTTTTTTCATTTTGACAATGCAACTATTTTATTGAAAGGTTATTTGATGTTGTTTGTCAATGCTCTGTATTGCATTGAACTTGTCACCTGAAATGAACGTTAAAATAACATGTTTTCTCCCTCAGGGCTGGTTTGCCGGCAGGAATCTGGCTGTCTCCCAGGTAACCACCAAGTACCTCCTGTGGGTGGACGATGACTTTGTGTTTACGGAGGAGACGAAGATAGAGAAGCTGGTGGAGGTGATGGAGGCGGTCCCCGAACTGGATGTGGTGAGAATAAAAAGGACTCGTGTCTGAGGGGTCAGTTAGCTTGTGTTGATTATTTCAAGTAAAAAAGAAAGAAAGAATAGTTATATCTGTCAGGTGTTCTACAGATTTCTGCTGGGGTGGTCAACTTCTTCCTGGCTCGAACCCACGCCGTACAGAGGGTGGGATTTGACCCTAAGCTCCAGAGGGTAGCGCACTCGGGTAGGTCTAGAGTTTGGAGTCCAAGGGGCAGTAAGTCCACACTCTTTTAGTTTTCGTTGGCGGTTTTCTAAAAGTGTGAATGTCTGTCTCTGACTCCAGAGTTCTTTATGGATGGCCTGGGCTCCTTGATGGTTGCCTCGTGTGACCACGTGTCCATCGGCCATCAGCCCAAAACAGGCCACAGCAAGGACGAGGCTCTCTACAAAAAGTTCAGACACCCTCCAGGGAGTGACGCAAAGCTCAAACTGCAGCTTCACTTCTTCAAAAACCACCTAAAGTGTATCAAGTATGGATAGATGACCACTTGAGGACATTGAGTGACATATTTCCCTGCACTTCTTCAAATGAATGTATTTTATATTTCTCTTTCTCCTTTTTATTGTTGGATAAAGTGAGAGGGAATCCTTTCCTTTTTTACATGCTGATTATTGCTACACATTGCCACACACATCCATACATGCACTTCGGGACTGTGTGTGTGTGTGTGTGTGTGTGTGTGTGTGTGTGTGTGTGTGTGTGGCCCTGACTTTCTGTCTGTTGCTAGGGATACTTAATCAATTATTGTGTTTTGTGAAACCATAGATCCATGTTTTTGATGCCTGACTTAATAAATTGTTAATACTTATAGATCGTCTTCTGTTCATCGAATGTAATTCCAATCAAACGATCTGCGCGGGGTCCTTCTGAAGGTGTAGTCTTTTGGAGTCGGATTATACGGTAGGCTTTTAGCCTGAGGGTAAATCGCCAACAATATGTAAAGGAAAATGATAATAAAAATGTTGCTGTAAATTTGGATTTTTCATTCAAAGGATTCCCAAAGATAAACACCCTTTCAGTCGATTCAGCAGTGTACAGTAGCCTAAAATGTATTGTACTAAAGCCATATAATGTACTGTAACATGAAGACAACTGCTTTCCATTTGACAGACCACGTTTAAAAGAGAACATAGGAGTGCAATCATTTAAACACAGTGGCGGCTGGTCAATAGAGGGCAATGGGGCATGGCCCCACCTTGAGCCATACAGAAAAAATCATAAATTGTCAATATTTGTGTTTTTGAACTATATGGAATGTACCCAGTAAAATATATCTGCGCAAAATATATGCTTTTCCTGCTCGTGCTCTCCGCCTGTGTGCACGACACATCTCAGAACGCGCAGCTAGGGGGGCAAAATCGTTTTGGCCCAAAAGAGGCGGGTCTATGAAGCAGTTTAGCCAATTGCTGATTAAAGATATAAATGAGTGACATACAATTTAACCAATCAGCGCCCTCAAATAGATTCAGTGTGGGGCCAAAACGATTTTGCCCCCCTAGCTGCGCGTTCTCGTCAGGAAGTCTCTACAGGCGAGCGCGAGCACTACTCCTCCAAGACCCGTTTGAGAGGAGAACTTTGGCGGAGATTCTGCAGGCCAAAGAGCTGATATCAGATCAGCCTGACCTCACAATCAGACAGCAGACTAGCGGGAAAGGGAAGCAGTACATGCGAAGCTTCTCTACTGTACACCAGACAGGTTTGGCTAGCTGGATGACGTCATGCTAATAACTTATTTAGCTTTTTAAAACAACGGGGACAGATCCAGCATGACAGTTAGGGAGTGAGGGATGAGGAGGTAAGGACACATGAGAACACCAGGACACACATGGAGAACTCTGTCAAGCTACATATTAGGCAAAGTGAAGATCTTTTCTTCTACATAGCTGTCCTCAGTCTCATCTGCTTAACTTGGTCATGGAGGCATCAACATGTAATTGAGATGGTAAATTAACAGTGAAAACTCATCATAGCTTAATTTAACATCAGTATTCATAATTACACTTCATGTTTATTTCTCCTGATCTTTACCTCCTATAACAAGGTCCATAGGGGCATCTCAATAAATAAACATGTTCTATTATATTATATAAGTGTTATTTACTGCTTTTTTTCGTGTTGGAATAAATGTTAAATATTTAACTGCAAAGTAGTAATGTGTGTTTGATACTTTATTTTTTCTGCATTAAATCATACTGGGATGTTTGCTGAAATTGATAGGATGGCCCTACCTAGAAAATGTTCCACCAGCCGCCACTGCTTAAACATCAAACAGATCAATAAAGGCTGGGCGGAAAATGAGCTGGTAGTCGGACATTTTTTCAAATGAATGTGTATTTACCATCGGATCAGTCAACGCAACCATTCTCCGATGCAGTAGGTGGCGGTATGCGCGTTTCTTTATAGAGGAATGCTTCCGGTTCATGCAACTTCCTAGCAGCTGATTATCCAAACAAGTCATGGCGGAGAAGGGAGCTGAAGCATCCGCGAAACCTGCACTGACAGCGGCGGAGCAGCAGCTCTTCCAGCGCCGACAGGATCTCGACTACTGGAAGAAGAACGCAGCGCGGCTCCGCGGCCGGAACCTGCTGACCGGCCTCGCGATCGGGGCGTTTGTGGTCGGCTTGTGTATCCTTCACTGGTGTCCTGGTCAGATGGATGTCAGAAGCTATTACACAAAACATACGATACGCTTCGTCCTTCATTCAGTTGCTCCAAGGATATAATAAAAGAAAAAGAAAAGGTTAAAATCTACAATGAAATGTGAGCTGTGAAGTAGTGTCATACTCATGAAGTCTTCTCAAAACAGTTAAATTAATTTACTCGATTTCCGTGAAGATCTCATCAAACTGAAAATTTATTTTTTTTTCCTTTGGAACCAAATCTAATAAATGATTAACTTTTTTTAAATTATTATTTTAAAAATTCAGTCAATTCAAACATTACATTTGTTTTCATTAAAACCCGTTTGTCACCAGAGGGTGCCAAAGTATTGACAATGGCGATATTAATATGTGTAGCACGGAGAATCTGATCTTCAATAATGTGTAAAATGCTGTAAAAACCACCACTTAGTTGAATCGTTATTGGAATAATGTTTATCTGTTCATGTTTAACCTTAATATGAACAACTGACATTGATATCTTCCTTTTGTAGAAGCAGTTGTCAGGTCCTCTATAGTTTAAAATAATATTTTTTTCTGGTGGTGGGCCGATTTAATAAAGCAGATGCTGTGGAACAAAGCCAGAAACTATCAGTTTATTTATTAATTTCATTTATGTAAGATTTCAAAATTTCTGCTGGAAAAAAAAAGCTGTTAAATGCACTAAAACTTTAGTTTTACATTCATTTGTTTTCTCCCAAAGTTAAAGATTTTGAATACCTGTAGACATTTATTTTGTTGATTTTTTCGTTTTGAGACAACAATGACCGAGAGAATGCAGAAAACTGTTTAATAAATGTGCATTTAAATACAGCAATTCTTTAGAATATCTTAAATTGTTGTATTTTATCAAATGCAAAAAAACAAACAAAAAACCATGATATTTGCATTAGAATAGAATAGAAATATACTTTATTCATCCCCAAGGGGAAATTTGTCAATTATATATCGTCGTTCTGCTCTCTAAATATCTGCATCGGAACTTAAAAAACCCAAATCGGTCGACCTCTTGCTTTTTCTTACCGTCAACAGATTCCATGAAATGACCAAAACCAACCACGTGTTCGTCTGAACCTGGATGCTTTCCGACTCTGTTCATTCCCTGAAGACGTACAGTCCTGTTCGTTGCTCAAACAGGAATACATAGTGCACTTGTTGATGATAAACTTTTTTCAGCTGGGGATTAATCCACATTTGTTGCTCTAGTGAGCATCTGTGGAGCAGACTGTGTATGCGTGATTGAGTCAGAATACTACACTGTGTGTGTGTGTGTGTTCATTCATGGTAATGAAGCGACATGTCAGCCAGCTCAACCGTCATCGATCAGTTTTTAATAGTTTTTGGGATGACAGTGGAGCTTCCTGGCACAGAGGAAGGACATACGTCAGGCACAACACTTGTCAGTAAAGTCAAGTCAGTCGAAGGGTTTTGGTGTTTTCATGGGATTTGTTGATAAGAAACACAGAAAGTCACCAGACATTCAAACCAAGACGAAATAACTGCTTCATGAAGGCCAATATCAAGTCATATTGTTCCAAAAGAGAATTTAGAATGCAATTTGTCAGGAAACATAACTTTATTTATGATCCCTTTTTTATAATTAAGATAATAAAGAAAATACGTGTAAGTAAAGTTAATATGTCAAATTATTTTACCCTCGTTTTTGTTCTGAAAGATATTTGGATCCTCTAGAGAGCAAGAGCTGAATTTGTTCACCGTCTCTCTTAACTTACGAGCACTACTTCATGTATTTAATCTGCGAGTTAAACCGCATGTGTAACCGTCGGTTCCCCTGAACGCTTGCTACCGAGGCCGCTTATCAAATGTGACGAGTATCGGCCCTGCAGGATGATTAGCCATGCAGCGTAAGGTTTTCTTTTTATTCCCCAAAGGTCTCAGTGTCAAGTCCAATAATAATTCAATGAATACAATTTTAACAATTAACATCTACACACCCAATAAGGTAAACAACAAGGTGCACGGCTGTTTTTTTTTTTTTTTAATTTAAAAAGAGCTTTTCTTTGACCTATGAACGTCCAGTTAGCTACACCATCCTGTCCGTCAAACAGGAGAGAATCGTGGAGGAGCTGGACGAGGAAGTCAAGATCAACCACATCAGAGGGCCAAGAACCAGCGCCAACTCCTGATGAGGCTGACCACGAGCCTGGACCCACACTGCTCCCCGGGCCCTTATGCGTGTCCTCCGTAGAGCGCGTGGTGACATCACACCGGCTGTAATGAGTCATGTCCGCTGAGCTTCTCGTACTGAAGGGTGAAACCTTGCACATTTTCAACCTGGTCTGTCGCCGGTAACACGCAGGGAAGCAGTGAAAGGTTCCTTTGCCAATAGCATCCATATCGCAACGATACCAAGCCGGTTGAAAATGGGCCACTCTTCATCACAAATTCATATAAGGACATTACAAATGTTTTCTTTGTTCCTTTTCTGTTTTGAAATACAAACAAAACTATTGTTGAAATTGTTGAATTATTTTCTGCATTAATATAAACTTACTCTGAATAAAGTGTTGCCTCGAAAACAGGGAGAAAAATAATTTTGCAGATCCATAATTTCTAAATACATTCCTCATATTTTCTGACATTTCTTTAAAGAATTGTTTGTCATTAATTATAAGGGGAAAATAAAGTGATTGTTCATTTGATACATTTTCAATTATTTCAAATGAAAAAAATAACCTTGAATTCATATAGTAAGTGCACAGCTGCTCAGGAGAACGTGCAAAAAGGTTGAACTTGTCTAAACTTTGCACCAAACTATTCACAAATCTTACAATTTATCGTCATCTCTCAAATCAGAAAAGAATGCAGCATGTACGTGGTACAAACACCTTTTACAAATCTTATATATCCATCATTTCTCAATTGAGCAAATTGATATCTAATCCATTAAAGGGAAAACTTTCCTCCTTATCTCTGTGGGTTAGGGATATAGTGTGAAGAAGCTGCAGCTCTTGCTGATGATCTCTGTGGGGAGCATCTTCCTGCATCCAGTGACGTCGCTAGAGGTCGAACTACAGCGTGCTACTTCAGCGTTGGCAGCTGTGGGGCGCAATGCAGCTGCAAAACATTGTTTTCTCGAAAATGGAATCCCAAATTATGAATGCAGATGTTGACGAGTATTTTTTACAGCCCGATTCGGATATTCAGCCAGAGAGAGGCTACTCAAGATTATATATTTCCCTGTGACGCCAACAGAAATGTAATCATGCTGCTATGATGATTGACCCAGAGAGCCAGCCGCGTGTCCAGCACAAAGGGTTTCCTTTCCGTTGGGACAGAGGTGTGCTGGAGACATTCTTCAGGATCCCGAAGGTCATCTGAAAAATACAACCGAGACCAGCAGGGCGATATTACAAATGAGAGAAACAGAGCGGGGGGGGGGGTGTGGAAGCCCTGGCATATTTTCACATCCTACTCGGGTAGCCCAAATGTAACCTCATGTGAAAACAATATAATAAAGGCAATTTGACGCAAATTAACATAATTAAGATATATAATTATTTAGATTGATAACTCAATTTAATTTTAAAAAGTCAGTCATGTCGAAAGAAGTATTTTTGATGTGAAAAAAGTCATAAAAAGTCAGAGCGTATGTCAAAAAATTCACATAGTGTGTAAATAAAAAAAATCATATTTAAGTATGTCGAAAAAATATATAAAAAATCATAGTATAGTCAAGTATGGCTCATAGAGGGCTGAGAGCGTACCTCTCCTTGACAGGAGCATCCAAATCTTAGAGGGACAGTGTTTTGGATTTGGCAGCATCTAGCGGCGTGGTTGCATATTGCAGTGACTATCAACTGGTGGGTCGCGGACCCGTTTTCAGTGGGTCTTTGCCTGGGACCCCCCCCCCCCCAAAAAAAAACTATTTTCCTGTGCTTTTATTTTGAAGGCGATTTTTTATGCAGCGGAGTGCCGTCTATTCACACTCCTTAACAATATTTGGTGTTAATGCCTTGTAATGCTAATATCAGCAGAGGATAAACTGAAAACTATACCTCTGTCAAATGACACTAGGCGAATTGAAGACATGTCGGATGACATCAAACAACAGACCACAGCTCGAATTTAGGTAAGTGGTCATTTTGCATTACAAATGGTCCAATCTACAGACATAACAAACAAAGCAGTTTTACTCGTTTACGTGAAACACGTGTGGGACGGGGACTTACAGGAACAATTTCTCTGCACAAGAGAGCTCCCTACACTACGACTGCAGAGGACATTTTCAGCTCAGGTTCAAACTGCACCATCTTTTCATTAAAAACATTTGAGAAGTCACGGCTTGTCATTAAGGGGTGATGGTGGGTCCCGCAGCCAGACCAGTTGAGAACCACTGGCATATTGCAACTAACTTACTCCTCCCCTTTCAAGTCTGTGGTAACGTGAACCTACAGGTGCAAAACTGTGGTAGCGCCGTGTAACACAGCGGACTCCATGAAGATGTAGATCTGAAGGGCTCATTTAAGTTTCATAGTTATAAAAACATAGTTATGGATATTATATTCCATTTCTGCTTATAGATATGCTACAGAAAAGCTACACACTGGCACTTTAAAGGATACTCATGTTTATTACAACTCGGGAATTGAGTATAAAAATAAAAGGCAAAATGTAAAATTATTACCCAAACAGTCACTTTGGTGAGTACAATGCTACCATAACTGATAGAAATATTAGCAAAACTACTAAAACTAGACAAAATTTTAATGTTAAATTTTAGCATAGATTCAGGGTTGGAAAATAATTAGGAGCTAGGAGGGAAGGGAGGCACGGAAGGACCAGAACCAGGACTGAGCGAGGCAGACTGTCAGACCCTGCTGCAGTAAAATGAGAGGGTTTCTAAAGGGACTCTGGTGCTTGAAAGCACTACCACTTTTGTCCACAGGGACCGCCAAAATCAAATACAATTTCCTTGTAGTAGCTTTATATTTCCTTCCTTGTTATTATTTCTTTTATTTTGGAGTTCCTGGATTGCATTTTTTCATCCTGTTTTTTTCCCCCCATTTTCCAAGAGCACCCAACACATCTTTGATCTACGGTTGATGATACAGGGCAACAATTTCCTACTCTTTTTTATTACTGAGAACAAAGTAGATTCCTTGTCGTATGGACCCTTCCCTACTTTTAAACTTTAAAGATTGTTCTTACATATGTTTTACATATGGATTGATACAAAATATTATTCGTAAATTGTTACAAATATTACCAATGTGTCTTATATTACTACCACCACATATGACACCAGAAGTGGACGAGGACCAAGAACAGATTACGACCAGGAAAAACTTGAACTCTCATTCCCGATGGTCCAAGTAGCAGGTCCGAATGGAGCAATGATGGTCCATAGACCCTGGACTGACAGAGACATGATCGACACCCTGGCACTACTGCCAGAACCCCAAATATCGGGGTCAAAGTTTGGTGATTGTATTCTGCCGCGAGTTTAGTCCCACTGAAGAACTCAGACGCCTCCTCATGAAGAAATTGGGCCCAGCCAACTATGCCAAGGTTCGAGCAGCCTGTCAAGGCAATGCCAGACAGGAACAAACCAACTGGGATCACGCTGACAATGTTGCATAAATTGTCTGCCTTACCCCCTTCTGCCTCCAAACCACTCCACTCCCTCCAACCAGGAGACTGCATTGTGGTAAAGGACTTCAGGAGAAATCACTGGCAAGCTAAGCGTTGGAAAGGACTGTTCTATATTCTCCTCACCACCCACACGGCTGTAAAGATGGCAGAACGAGCGGCCTGGATCCAAGCAAGTCACTCAACTATTGCTACTCAGATTGCACCGACGACAGACTCAACCACCACTACGTCATCCTTCCCTAATACCAACAACCTAGAGTGATGTTGGTCCAGATTGTGGTCCCCATTTCATTTGCATTTTGCATGAATCCTATGTGTCTGCACATGTGCCTTGCCAAATGGATACTAGTCTGCTGTATATACTTATGATTGATCAATGATGTGATCAAAAGGGGGGATTGTGATGGCTAATTTCCACTGTGACTTATCTATCTGTTTTTATTGTCTGACCACTCAGTGTTTTGGCCCTTTTTGTATTAACAAAGTTAATACATGTCAGACATGGTCAGTAGGGGTCCTCTCAGGTTGAGTAATATTAGGTGTGTCTTAATCAGGGGCATGATACTGTCAACTTAGATAGGGGGCTGAATGGGGATGCAATCAGTGGACCAATCAGTGATTAACCATTCAATGGTTGGTCAGTGAATGATCACTGTTGTCCACATGTCCAAGTGATGAACTCCTCCTATCCCACCATGTGCTCAAGGCCTTTATAAGTTGTACACAACCAACACTCTAGGTTCTTCCTCCTTCAGACCGCATTGCATTCTGTATGACGATTGAACCTTCTCTGCACAGAGAATAAATACTTTAAAGACAAACTTCTTTCCTCAATGTTTCTTAATTTCAGTATCATAGGACTCACTCGGTAATATTGAATAGTTTTTTCCACCACTGTACAGATAACATAATCAATGTAAGATCAAATAAAACAGGCATCTGTTGTGATTATAGTATAACTACTTTTGAAGTTTTCAGAATGCATCTGCAAAATCTGCAATTTCAGCCTCTTAACATACCAAATTACTGCGTAAAACTTTCACAGAACTATATAGGACATTTCCATCAAAGTTCCCTTTCTTTTTTTTGGGGGGGGGGGGGGGGGTGTGTATCATACAGTTGCTAGTACACTAGCAAATGATTATATGGCTTTATTTTATAATTTAAAAAACTGGAAAAGTCTTGACTGGAATCATGTTTCATTTGCAGAATTAAGGTGAAATAATTAGTTTCCAACAAATGATTGCAGCTTCGTCTGTTGCAACAGAGTAGAAGTAGCATAATATAACTTTAGAAACTTGAAGGTCAAAATGAACCGAACACTAGAAAACTGGTCATGTAGTTATGTTTTTGAGAAACATGGTACATGTATATAAGAAGTGGACGTAGTCATTGCGACGTTACCTATTGGTTTGTGGACTTGTTTTAAAGCCTCGAGTTTCGCAATTTTGCCTTCGCCTTCTTGGATTGTTTTGTTTTTTCTTGGTAATAAATCAAGTGAGAAGTAGTGTAATTTTCTTATTGATTTCTTACAATCTGATTTATTTTTGCAACCGGAGGAGTTGTCCCCTGCTGGTCAGTAGAGAGAATGCAAGTTAAGACACTTCCGCATTGGCTTCACTCGGCAGAACCGGAGGTTGTCGCATGATAAGTACACATCGTACACAGACTACTGCTTGATGTTAGTGTCGCTAATCTCCCTTTTAGTAGCCACCTTGTCTGACATTGTCAGTAACATGAGGAGATGATGATAAACCAGCAGGTGATCCACTTTAGCAACCATTACAGCCAGCGTGGAGAGGAGGGATGATAGAAGGCAACCAGCAACTCAACCCACGTGTGACATGTGAGCATTGTATTCAGACGGAATCCTCTTGTTCATCAAAATATAAAAGGTACATCCCAAGTCTCTTACTTGTCATTTCTTCACTCATCTAGCTGGGCTTGAACGTTGTTCTACACCACCATATTCACGGCTGTCCTAAAGCCCTTCTTTCTGCTCTAAGGAAAACCAGAGTGAAGACAGATCACAGATTAAACTCTAGTT